TTTAAAGAAATCGTTTTAGATGCTCAAACTAAACGGTTCATAATTGAAAATGGGCATAGTAGACCTAAAGCTAAAGGGCCTTTCGCTAAAAATTCAGACGGTAGATCTTTTTCTGAAAAGTATTATTTTACAGTGTCCAAATCTGGTTTAAAAATCGAACGTTCGTGGCTATGTTATTCAACTATACTTCAAAAAGCGTATTGTAGGTCATGCTGGCTATTTGGAGATCGCACATCCACTGGCTTTCAAGAAATTTGGACTACAGGATATTGTGATTGGAAACACATAGTAGATGGTATTAAAAGACACGAGAAATCACACGTTCACTACATTTCCTGTTTAGTATATGAAAAATGGTTTTTAAATAAAACATTAAACGAAGAACTAGAACAGAATATAAAAAAAGAAAAATTATTTTGGCGTCAGGTTTTAGAGAGAATTTTAAATATTACTCTTACATTAGCTATGCGAAGTTTACCTTTTCGCGGCCCAGAGAAAAGCTCGGTAGTGGAAAAGGAGAAAACGGCAATTTTATTTGTTTTATTGAGTTACTTGCAAAATACGACCCAGTACTAGAAAAAGTTATTAATAAGGGTAATAATAAAGTAAACTACTGTAGCCCTAAAATTCAAAATGAACCAATACAGTTAATTTCAAATAAAGTCGAAGACGAGTTAATACTTAATATTAAAGAAGCTCCTTTTTTTCCATTATAATTGATACAACGCAAGATATTTCAAAGGTTGATCAGTTAAGTGAAATTTATCGTTATTGTGTTATAGAAAAAGATGAATACGGAAACCCAAAAAATGTATGTGTTAAGGAAACTTTTTTAGCATTTCATGAAGTTATTGATCAATCTGCCTCTTCTCTTTCTGAACTAATATTACAGAATATTGAAAAAAAGGGATTGTCTATCGCCAAGTGTCGTGGTCAGGGCTATGACGGGGCTGCCAATATGAGTGGTATGTATAATGGCAAAATTAACAAAAAAGAATTAAAGACATTGAGCCAAGCGCAGCTTATGTCCATTGCTCTGCTCATAATTTAAATTTAGTTGTCAATGATGCTGTGAAAGAAATAACAGAAATGGAAATCTTTTTTGATGTTGTTCAACGAGTTTTTGTTTTTTTTGGACATAGTATAGTAAGATGGCGTATATTATTAGATTTAATTAAGGAATCGAACAGTCAAAATGGATTATTAATAAAAAAACTTAATCCCACAAGATGGGCTGGTCGTTATGAAGCAGTTTTTGCGCTTCAAATTAGATTTGTTGAAATTCAAAAAGCTTTAACAAAAGTTATACTTTGCAGCTCTAAGTTAGATGAGCGAAATGAAGCTGAAGGGATTAAAAAACAAATTGAAAATTATAATTTTATTTGCACTTTAGTTTTTCAATGTAAAATTTTACAAATTATAAACCTAACTTCTAAAATTCTCCAGTCAAAGTCAGTTGATTTAGATAATGCATCCAATTTATTAAAAAACTGTTATGAACAATTAAAAGAATATAGATGTAATTTTAATGATCTCTTGGAAGAAGCAAATATAGTTGCTAAAAATTGGTCTATCTCTACAGAGTTTCAAAACAAACGTCGTAAAGTTGTAAAAAGATATTTCGATGAACTATGTACTGATATGCGTTTAACTTGTCCAGAAAGCTTATTTTGTGTAACTATTTTTAATAGAACGTTGGATATATTAATAAATCAAATAAGTAAACGTTTTTCAAGTTTTCATGAATTAATGCTAAATTTCACATGTTTACAACCATCTTTTCTTACATCAGCAACAGATTTAGAGCTTTTAAATGAAACTACGAAGTTGGTAAACAAATATGATAAAGACATATCAAAAACATTTACAGGTGAAATTTTAGCTGTAAGATCAACTCTTAAAAATCAAATAAGTCAACTTAATTCAACTAGAGATCTTGCTCAAATTTAATGGTGAAAAATCATTCTTTAACAGCCAGTTTCCCAGAAGTATGTACTGCTCTTTTATTATTTTTGACAGTTCCTGTTACATCTGCAAGCGCGGAACGGTCATTTTCGAAACTAAAAATTATTAAAGGATATTTAAGGAGTACAATGATGCAAGATCGTTTAAGTGGCCTGGCATTAATTTCAATCGAACAAGAAACAGCCCGAGAAGTTGACTTTGAAAATTTAATCGATATGTTTGCCGAAGCAAAAGCAAGAAAGAAGATATTTGGAATATTTAAATTTTTGTATTGCTTTGTATATATTTTTTAAACCAAAAAATGTTTATTACAATTTTACTATAAAAATAATATTACACTAAACATGCTTTTTATTGTTTGTAACCTTAAAGGGTAGAATTTTATAGGTGGTTAGTTTTTGTAGGCTATTCCTCATATCTCTTTTTTCCAAATTTATAAAACTAAGGGCCCGATTGGATTATTTTGCCACGGGCATTAAAAGTTCTGGTTACGCCACTGGTGTGTATGTTTCTACATGGGTACATTCTGTCACGAATTAATTTAACGTCACTGTAATCTAACGTGTCAAAACTATGTTTTGTAATTTCGGAACGTATAATTTTAATTGGGCGATCAGTCATGTCTTTAGCTCTTTTTTTACACGCACTTCGAATAATTTGACGATTTAATTTTTTTTCATCAGTATTATGGTTATGATTTAAATTACTACTCACAGTTATATATATATATATATATGTCTAAATATAGTATAATATAATTTTTGTCATAGCTAACATAGCTATGTATATAATCAGGGGCGGATCCAGAGCCGGGGAACTGTGGGTCAAGCCATTCCAAGAGGTCATTTATTAGGGATGAAACTGAATTAGAAATTAATACCTTGGTAAAAAAAAAAACAATATGCTCATAAAAGTGAATAAGTGTTTTATGTTTTATAGTATATATTTTTTAGAATATTTATATTATATTTTAGAATTAGTGATACCACCGATAATAACTTATTTACAATTAATAAATGTAATCTAATTTTGTCAGCCCAGCAAACGTACGGAATAAAATATGATTTACTTAACTTTCTACTAAAACGATATAATTTAAAATATAAATTATGAATTGAAAAATTTTAAATTTTAAATATACATGGCATTCATTTTTCAAATAACTCCGATGGGCCATCTGTCTAAGAGGCCAATTTTGTCAACAAATATTAACTGTGGGTTAGCTGACCCCCTGAATCCCCTCACCTAGATCCGCTCCTGTATATAATATGTAATAGTATATGTAATAGTAATATATAATAGTATTGGGTAAATATTAAATCAGTTTATTCTTTAAATTAAATCATATAAAATAAATGCTAACTGTCAATTTTAACGACTTATTTTTATTTTTTGCTTGTTTTACTCTGGTCCGCCAGATTTAAAAGTTCTATAAACTGGCGCTCTAGTTACTTTCAGTGTTTTGAGTTCATATTTCTCGTATACTTTATTGATACTGTACCATATATATGTGTATTTAAAAAATATCAATATAATAAATAAATGAAAAATTTGTGCATTAAATTAATGCAATCAAGTATCAAGACGTTACATTAATCAATAATTAAATGGTGGGCGGGAATAACGTGCTATGTAGCAATTTGTAAATTTTACTGGAACGACTAAACCGAAAAATGTATTTAAATGTTATCTGGAACGTGCTACGTGCGTTGACAAAATAATAAAATAATGTTCATTTTTTTTATAACTTGAACATTATTTTATTATTTTGTGAACTGTGTTCATTTATGAATTAAACTTAAACAAAATTATTTCAAATGTATGTTGCACAATCGTGATATCCGCACATCGTGCGGCGTGTCAACTTACTGTGAACAGTGAAGTTTGTACACGATGATTGTATACGATAAAAATATTTTTGACATTTGTGATTTTTAAAATAGATCGATATTGCTTCATAGCACGTTATTCCCGCCCATCAATCAATTATTGATTTTTGTTACCTTATTTATTCTTTGGTTAGTTGTTAAGGTACTGTATTACAAGCATAATCTATTGTTTCATAGTAATGTAGATAATTACACTATGATCACGGACTAAGATAATATCTAATATATTGTACGGGACTGGATACGACTAGGCTGGAGGATATGAAGTGTTTGGCGATGGAATGTTAAAGAACAGGCCGTATGCAGGGGGTTATTTTCTTTATAACATTACAAGCGCTGTCTTAGCAGATACTTATAGATATCATTGATTATAAGTACTAGTATTTATAATCAATGTAGATACCTATAGCAGGAACGATCACAATATCACTATAATCATATCACTAATTATATCAACCCCGGAAGTTCCAGAAGCATCCGTTAAGATAGCGCTAGTTTTGATAAAAGTAAAATAGCTCCCTGCGCACCGCCCAACTAGGGACAGCAGGAACTTTTGAGGACCCCGAGACTGATCGGTTCCAGGGCCTCTTTACTTGCACTTGTCCGGCCGAAACATGCGTACTACTTATACATACTTCAGTACAATAAAAATACTGTACAAAAGACTGAGACGACGGGTCCTAGGGCTCTAGCCCTCTCTGTCCCACCGTCTTGCCGGTCCTGCGCCCAACCTATAACATTTCGTAAACATTTATTACAATTATCTCGTGTCCAGTTCTGTATATCTACAGATAAATAGAATAAGAATTCATATAAAATGTATTCTATATATCTGCATGTGTATCTTAAAGACCGTAATGATATAACTAAAAATTAATCAAAAAGTCAAAGCAGTTTTAAACATCATGTTGGTGTCACTGTAATCGTGATATCGTGTTATAGCCGCATAACCTACTTTATTTTTATTCTCAAAAAGTCAAGAAAATAGATAAATAAATTTATACATATATATATGTATATAATAATTTTGTGTACAATTTTGTTTTTCTCAATTTTCGTGAATTTCTTCTAATTTTGATGAGTGATAATCATCGAACTATGTGTTGTACATACATCCCTTAAAATTACTGACGCATACACCCAAAAATGTGTGAATGCGAGACATGTATAGAGTTTTCGAAGCTTTTAAAACCATGTATGTATATAAAATAAATCCCTAAAAATTTGTATACTAATATTATTATTAATATTTCCTCTGCAGATGCTGGTGCAAAAAAAGATTTTACTTGTGTAATTTTATCTAAGTCTGAAGTGAATCAATTAGTTGTTTTTGTACAAGCTTTTATGCAACGGTGAGTCAACAGTATAAATGAAATTGATACTAATTTTAAAAATGTTTTTTATGTTATAGACAATGTCTTGGTGGATTTCAAGATAAAAAAAATTATGAACAGTTTCAATGGATTACCCAATGTTTTGTCTTGTTAATGACTAATTTGTTAAAATCTTTCAAAGGACAAGACAAACTTACTTATCCAACTCGAGAAGAAGATGATGCTGAAAGTATTCGTAAATGGGATGATTTACTAGCCAATTTTAAAGACGAAGGTAAATATTTGATTATTATATATTATTTATAATAGGTTATTTCATAATTTACTAAAAATTTAAATAAAATATTTCATAATATGAGGTCATATGTTGAACTATTAGTTTGATATATATTGTACTAATAACAATTTTATTTCAAACCTAATTAATATTATGTTAATAATAAATATAATTATGCTTAGACCTACAATGGACGTTAGCAGAAATGGAAAAACCATTACATCTCATGACCAAAGTGTTTTTGATGAATTTTCCATTGTATGTGGCTGTAAAACAATATCCACATTACAAGACAGAAGAAGTAACTCAACAAGAAGCTTCTGCAATGAATCATTATTGCGATGTTCAAGAAATCGATATGCCATTATTACTTTTGAGAATTGTCAATATATTTTGCAGGTAAATAGTTAAATATTCTTTTGAATTATGTATTATGTACTGAGTATTTTATTATTTAGGGTTGGTGGTTTGGAAGCAATTATGTCTTGTTTTGATTATGAATCCTTACCATTAACTATTGCCAATCCAATTGTCATACTTGCTTGCAATGTAAAATTATGGTTAAATTACCATACAAATATTCAAGTATTTGTACCCCTGAGGTCTAAAGTTCTTAGGTTTATGTGCAACTTAACTGATAAAGAATTAAGAACTCCAGCTGCTAAGACTATGGCCGGTAAATATGTATAATTTTTAAGCACTTTAAATAAATTCAATAAATATATTATTTTTAAGTATTTTATATAAATTTAAAAATAAAAATCTTAAGTATTTTGTATAAATTAAGATTTTTTTTTTTTTATAGATTTTATGTGGAGTTCAAACAAAGATGGACATTCATCTAATTTGGATAAAGATGGTCTTGAATTAGCATTCAAGTATTTTACATCTCCAACATTAACAATGAGACTGGCAGGCATATCTCAAATTAATAGTCATATTGGATCCTTAAATGAACTTGTTCATGTTACTGCTGCAACATTATCAACATCATCCCAGTCTAATGACATGGTTACCATTGAACAAATTGGGCACAATTTAGCAACTTGGCTTGTTCATCGTAAAATTATTTCTCATGTGTTTGGTCCAAATTTACATGTTGAAGTTTGTTCAATTTTTTTAATACTATGTGAAAAAATAAAATTAATACAAGTATTAACATTTTAGGTTATTAAACAATGTAGTATTACACTCAATTTTTTAGCATCGGAAGGTAAGATTACGAATGAACATATAGATACTATTTGGCAAGCAGCTCAGTTAAAACATTGTAGTAAACAAGTATTCGATTTACTGCCTGGTTTCATTAAACATTTAGAACCAGCTCCTGTTTTACATTTATATCATTTACTGAGAAAATTAGAACCAAAAGAGCACACTGAACAAGTAAATTATTATTGTTTTAAATTTTAAGCCTTACAGCATATTAACAAAAATATGGCAGTTAATTTAAGTTATAATAACAAAATGCATAAATAACAAATGATTAGTAGTATAAATTTACACCTAAAATAAGCTATGAAGTAATTTATATGAAAGGATATCCTTTTTGTTTCAGAGCTTATTTTTAGCATCAGCTCTAACTAAATTTATTTGGTCAAGTATGGCTACTACTGCAAGAAGTCATGAATTTTCAATTCCAAAATTGGCAAGAATTGTAAGTGTACGAGGTGGTGGTCGTAGATTAGTTCGTTCTAATGATATGAGTACATCAGAGAATAGTGCTAGTCTTAATAGCAATTCTGATGGTGAATCTAGTGAGGAACGAAGTGATATGAGCGATGGTCCAACTCCTAGAAAGAAACCTAAAAAAGAAAATATTTTTGCTTACTCTGATAATGGTAAGAATCTAGTGAAAATAAAAAATAAAAATAAATGTTTACATTTTCCAATAATATTTTTTAGAATCTTTGGTTTTAGAAGGGGCAAAAATTGAAGAATTGGATGACGATTTTGATATCAATGAAAAAGATATTATAAGACCATCTAAACCATTAGGTATGTGTAAAATAAGACATTGTGTTAGAAAGAAAGCAATTAGAGATACAAGAATGAGAGTAGTGAAACCATGTAACTCAAGTGATGAAGATTCAGATAAAATGCAAATAAATCATTGTAAATTAGTAAAAGGAAACAAATTTCAAAAGCCTAGAGGAAAGATAAATAACCGTAAGTTGCATCAATTTTATTTATTTATTTATTATTATTAAAATAACATTTTTTGTTTTAGACAAAAAAATACGTAATATTAAAATGAGGTGCATTAGAACTGATTGTACAGAAGATGATTCTGAGTCTGACGGTGAAGAAGATGACGATGAAGAAGATGATGATGAAGATGAGGATATTGAAGATGAAGATAGTGAATCAATGGAAGCAATGGAAATTGGTATATCACCTATCGACCCTACTTCAGATCAGCAGGTACCTTCGACTCTGATTAATAGACAAATGCTAGAAGATTATAGTGGAGACGAGAATAGTATGTCATCTCGAATGTCAAATAAATCAGATAAAAATATGGCTGATTTTGATGGAGAAGATTCAGGCTGTGATGAAGAATTACTACAACTTGCTGCTCGTGCTCAAACTCATTTATCGACTCAGCAATTAAACCAAATGGCATTCCATTCTAATTTTCAAACCAATAAAAATGTACATCCATGTACCCAAATTATAACCACAACAATATCTAATCAATTCAATATAGAAAATGTTTGCAAACCTGGTTCAACATTATTGTGGGATTTACTTCAAGATGATAATATTGTAAGTATTATTATATAATATATCTATATTTTATATTATAGTATTGTAAGTTTTAAATATTAGAATATCCATAGAAGTGTAATATGTAATATATATAATATATATATATATATATATATATATAAGATGTTATATATTTATATATTATATGTATTATAATGTAAAAAAATTAAAATTAAAAATTAATTTATTATATATATATATTTAAATGTATGTTATTAATTAAATATTTTTTACAAATTGTCTTGTTATTCAATGATTTTCAGACACTTTTAGGAGAATCATTAGCTTTAGAAGCAGAAAAAGCATTGTTTAATCTTGTATGCTTTAATACTGATCGTGCTATCAGAATGAAATTTATCGAAGGCTGTTTAGATAATATACAAAAAAATAAGTATGTTTATTAAACATTTATTTTATTAGCCTATAGTTAATGCATATTTATAGTGTTACAATTTAAAAGTTGTCTTAGATTTATAAAATATTAGTAAGTTCAAATTGTATTCAATGGCTTAATTCATTAACACTTAATTTTTTATTATAGTAGTATGTATGAGGAGAAAAGGATTAATGTTACTTAAAAATTATTTTTTAATTAATGTAATTTTCATTATTATTTAAATATTTATATAATTCTACTCTTTTTAAGAATAATTACTGATCCCAATGTTTTGGGATTCAATAAGATTTTATCTATTATGAGAACATACACATAAATTATAATTTATTAGTTATATATATTGTTGTAATACAAATATAGAAATGAATAGTTAGATAGTGCATTACTGGACTACATTTATAATTTATTTTGTTAATTTTGTTTTAGATCTGTAGTCATTTCATTAAGATTACTCCCTAAGTTATTTGCATCATTTCATCAATTTCGTGGAGCTTCATTGGCCAATCTTAATGTTGGAATGGATACTCGCCAGGTGACTCTTTGGGCTGTTAAACACCATAGTATGATTGATCGAGTATTTAACAACTTTCGAGAATATTGCAAACAACATGCTGATAGTTTTTTTGAAGATTCGGGATTTTATTCCCACCAAATTCATATAGATGCTAGATTACAATTTTTGACTCATATATATTCTTCAATTGGACTTCCAGAGACCATCAAGTGAATATAAAACCTTAATTTGTATTAAATTAATTTTTAAATGTTATCATTATTTAGATTAACTATTGATGAATTGGATACATTATGGAATTGTTTGGTATCTGATGAAGTTTGCCGCGATGAACTATTTAACTGGTTATTACGTCAAGTCCGTTGTCGAGAACAACACACATTTAATGTTGAAACATTAACACATTTATACTGTGAAAAATTATTATCATTAGCTCCAGAAAGCTATACTATGACTGCTCTTAGTTTATTTACTCAGTTATGTAATATGGCTCAACAACAAGTGTCTAGTGATTATTCATTACTAGCAAGAAATGGACATGCAGCTGCAATGGAACATCTTTCAAAAATTGCGTTAAGAGCATCTAATAATGGTTTGTATGAAAGTTGTTAAAATAGTGAGACTTTTAACTGTACTCAATTCTTAAGAATATTCTATAGAAGACATTTGTTTTTGATTTATTAATAATTCATAGTATACACTAAGATTTGAACATTAAACAGGTAATCAAGAATACATGTTATACATGTTATATACATGTTATTTCTAAAAGGCAGTCAAAATGTATTTGTGAACAATACTTGCAAATATTGTTAATATTTCTTTAATATTAAAATATTGCCTAAAGTAGGTGCAGATTTAGCCTGAAGAAAATAAAAATGTATATTAAGCCTTTATTTAAATAAGATTTCAATGTTTTAACTTGATGTAATTAATCTTTAATTGATAAAATATTTTAAATAAACATTAATAAATAGTAAATTTTTTTTTTTTCATAAGCAATTAAATCAATTATTTTTGAATAAAGTAATTAAAGATATGAACATTTATTGTTGGATAGATTTAACTGATGTATAATATTTCCTAATCGAAATTTTTGAGTGATTTTAATTTCAGTAAGAGAAATATATTAATAAACAATTTATTTAATTACTTTAGTTCTGTTAAATGTTATAAATTGGTTTTTTTTATGAAATAATCAAATATTGAGACCAATGACTATGTTTTGAAAATAAGAATTTTATCATTAATGTTAGTAAGGTTACTTTCTTTATTGGTTCTATTTTTACTATAATTATTGATTATTATGATATATAACTAAAATATTTTATTAATTCTAATTTAGATGTAAGCATGGCGGCTATACAATATATAAACAACTATTATATGATGAATCTACAACTTGATAAAGAAGATAAGTTTATTAGTGAGTGTGTATCAAATTTATCAGTAGCTGCTGATACTTTAAATGATAAAAAAGAATCCAGTCTTCTTTGTATACAGCGAGCTTTATTATTATTAAAGACTCACTTAGAAACTTTTAAGCGTAAATATGCGTATCATTTAAGGAAATGGACTTTAGAAGGACATGGTATTATGAGTCATGTTATTCAAAACGACAAAAATGCTGCAACTATTAGGCTAAATATTAATCCTGCTATGTTAGAAGAAAAATTAACTCTTGATATGCCTAGTACTGATTATATAGCTGATATGAGAGCTGAAATTGCTCATTGGTGGGAAAGTCAGTATGATAATTTAGTTGCTAGAAAATTACCTACAGATGGTAATATACGCATGATTGCACTGGGACAAGAAATTACACCAGATTTTGATGAAAAAACTATTCAAGAAACTGGATTAAAAGATAATCAAGTAAATAATTTATTAATAATCAAGTTAACAATTTAGGTATTCATTTTTTATCTAAATATTTACTTAAATATATGTTTTAGATTATATATTTATCATTAAGTACATCTCGTAAAAAAAAATTTGGTGATCAAGATTTACCAGGATCAGCACAATTTGTACCTTCTAAAGAAAGCTCACCTACATTACTGCTTTTACGGCCTAAAAATTTTGAAGTATTATTCCGTTTAATGCATACTCTTGGATCAATGAAAACAATAGATGAAGAAGAAGTAATCAATTTAAAATTTTAACTAAAAACTTAATTTGGTATTTTTTTTTTAAATCATTGAATGAGATATTTGATATATATATATACATACATATGATTCCAATTATTAAAATAATAAATATAAAACCAGGTTTACATGACATAAAGTTTGCCTCATATATAATTTGTACGGTATGAGTATTATATTGGGTATTTCACTGATATTGGTTCAATACGGCTTAGTGTTTATCTAAACATTTTTGGTAGATTGGCCTTAGTCAAAGGTAACATACAGCAAGGAAAGTGAAAGTTTGGCTTAGTATACATGCATATCACCCAAATTTGTAAAATTATTTCAGCCCTATGTTGTGTAAACCTGAATTAAGAGCAAATTAACATAATATTATTCTTTTAATAAAGAAATAATTTATTCTTTTTTGTTATTTATCTGAGCTTTTTTGATTCATTATTTTATTACCAATTTCATATTTAAAAAATTAATTTATTTCAATTTTGAATTGTATTTTTATATAGTTTTAAATTGTATTATTATTTATAGAATGAATTACTACATTCAACAGCTCAAGTGTTATCAAGAAGTGTTTGGGATATTTTAACTATACTTCCCACCAGTCCTTCTATGTTGGAATCTTTTAAACATTTTCCAACTCATGAATCAAAAGATGATTGTCAAATTTGGTTAAAAAAAGATTTAGATCCTTCGAATTTACAAAAATTAATGTACTCATTATATATTATTGAATCCTTGGTCCAAATGGGTATTGAAAAGAATTCAGATGATGATGAAATATTACTAGAGGTATATTTTAACATCTTAATGTGTGCTGTGTTAATAGATAATGTCAAATTAAATTTAAATTATTCTTTTAGACATCAACAAATGGACTATCTAATTCTTGGGGAGATTGTTTTATCGAAAAGGGAGGTTTAGAACATCTATTTACTATACTATTGTCAGGTAAGTTAAATTTATTTTTAATTTCAGAATAGCATCTAAAAAATAAAGTTTTTATAAAACTTTAGGTACACTACAGGGTAATAGTGAATGGCATCAAGACTGTTTGGCTCATTTACTTAAATTATTATGTCAGCTTGGTGTATCACCAAGTGACAGACGACAACTAGATCAGTTTGAAGGATTAGGTTTTGACCCTTATTTCAGACCAAGGAAATCGCACATTAAAAAACAAGCTAATCTTGTTGTGCCAAAACTAAACAAAGTAATATTTAAATTAATCATATTAAATATTTTTGATTTTTTACAATTGTTATTTTTTAAGGACATGTTAAAACTTATGAAGATAAATTTAGTTATACCAAGATTGATGAGTATTTTAAATGAGTTGTCTTATCCCCAACATCCAAAAGAAATAAAAACGGGTTTTTGGGGTAGAGCTCAAGTTATTCATTTCTTAATGACTTTAGTCTTATCATGGTCTCATAGTGTAAATGGTATTTGCGAAGCACTATTAGAATCAAATCAGTTTTCTATGTGGCTTTGTAATCTTGTTCTTGAGGATCCAGATCCGTTAGTAAGACATGAGATTTGTGTTGCTTTATATCGACTCTGTGCTGTACCCCCAGCAAATCGTACTGCTGCTACATTACTTTTATCTCAGTTAATCAAGTTCCTAGATAAGGCTGAATGCATGCAACCTCAAATAAGACAAGAAGTTTGTATATTTTATTTTTAAACTAAAAGTATTTCTAAAGTAATCCGTTTTCTATTTAGAATCCAATAAGGATAACAGATGAAGAAAAACTCAATTATGGACCAGCTTGTCGAGATTATTTTTGGCTTATGTGCCGACTTGTCAATTGTTTACCTAATGATATAATTCAAGGTATGTATGAATATATCTATTATTATCAATTTATAATCTATTATTTATTTATATATTTAATATTATATTTATATAAATTTGTTATTTTAGAAAGTATTCTATATCCAACAAAATGTATCATTGATATTGAAGCCTTAGCTGTACGTGTTTGGGAATCAATTGCTACCCGAGATTTTATTGAAACACATTATAGTGGCCTTCAAGATGATGGTTTGATTGGACTTTTAAATCTTATGTCCAATATATTAGGACATAAACCACCTTTTAAATTTAGTAAACATAGTCATAAAGTTTTAGACACAGTATGTATTGTAAAATAAAATAAATCATTATAGTTAAATATTTAATACTTATGAATTTTAGGTTTTCGAGTTTCTGTTTGCATTACCAGATCCTCAAAATCGACAGTTACCTAAATGCAAATCTGAAAGTGCACGTTCTTCAGCTTATGATTTATTGGTTGAATTAGTAAAAGAAACACCAAAAAATTATGAATATTTGTATAAAAAATTATTAGAACAACATAGTAATGGTAAATAGTTAAAATATTTTATACAATACATGGTTGTTTTACAAGTTTTTTTTTTTCAGATACAAATCGGCTTCCTTATTTATGGGATTATTGGCCACATGATGATGGTCGATCTAGTTGTGGATATGTTGGTTTAACAAATCTTGGTGCTACTTGTTACATGGCATCATGTATGCAACATTTATTTATGATGCCTCAAGCTAGGCGATCAATACTTGAAGCAAAATGTGATGAGTCTAATAAACATTCATCAATATTAGTAGAGTTAAAACGAATGTTTGCTTATTTATTGGTATGTTTGACTTAATAATAATGATAGTAATTGTTGAGAAGAATTTGGTAGTAATTAAATCTTATAGAGTTTTGAACATAAATGTTTAGCAAATTACAATTGCAGTTTGCTTAATGTATTTTGAAAGACCCATAGAAAATCATATTTGGCTTAGTTCACTAGCAAGGATATTGAAAGACTTAAATAATTTAAGTGTCAATATGATGAAATTTGTATAAAACAATTTTTTATGTGCTTAATAATATTTGTATCTATAATAAGAAATTATGCTAAAATTTATTACAGTTGATAAAGTATTTGGTATAAGATATAATATTTGTTACATTAGTGTACATCATTTTTTAAATTGAGATGGAAATAATTTACATTAAAAAAGATCTTAAGTATCTAAAAATGCCATTATATAAAGCTTAGAGAATGATTAGATTATTTATTTAAAGATTTAAAAAAGCATATAAAATTAGTTTATTCCTTTATATGAACATAATACTTAAATATATTGTATTCTAGGAAAGTGAGAGAAAAACATATAACCCACGTAGTTTTTGTAAAGTTTACACAATGGACCATCAGTTGTTAAATACTGGTGAGCAAAAGGATATGGCCGAATTCTTTATTGATCTAGTATCAAAGCTTGAAGAAATGACTCCTGAATTAAAAACTCTTGTTAAAACATTGTTTGGAGGTGTAATTAGTAATAATGTTGTTTCATTAGTAAGTATAATTTTTAAATTATTTCATATGACTAATATATTTGATAATCATAAAAATCATTCACAATTGTTGAGCCAACTGTTTTTATTTAGCTAGTTAATTAACTTAAGGTGTAAAAATACAGTTTAATATATTCATGTATGTCTTATGAAAGTCCCCCTTTATTTATATTACTAAAGTATTAGAAATTTATTAATTAATGGTTTCATGTATATCTAATATTTATTAGTGTTATTATTAATAACTCATTAAAAACTAATTCAGGCAGTAAAAACAAAAATATTTTATATAATTTAGTGCTTATAAATACATTGATGTCCAATTTTGAGTGGTACAGAGAACTTGTAAATGATAATATTTTAGATATTATTATTTTTCTAATAAAAATACAAATGTTAAATATTTTTATTAAATAAAATAAATTTTAATATTTATATGGGTACAGAACATAACTTTTAATTTTGTTCACATTACATTTTTAATTAAGATATGATAAATTTACATTTATTTAAAATTATTCGTTATGTTTTATTAATATTATTTTTTTTGGTTAGTTGTAAATAAATATTCACATGTATCTAAAAATAAATTAATAAAATATCTTTGAAATTGATACTAATGATACTAGTGTTATTTTAATTTACAAAAAATAATCTATAATTGAATAATAATTTAAAATTAATGTATTGCTTATTTTATTAAATGATCCTTTTATTTGAAAAATTTAGGATTGTGATCATGTAAGTAGAACTTTAGAAGAATTTTATACTGTAAGATGTCAAGTAGCTGATATGAGAAATTTGTACGAATCTCTTGATGAAGTAACTTTAAAAGATACATTAGATGGAGATAATATGTATACTTGTTCTCAATGTGAAAAGAAAGTTCGTGCAGAAAAGAGGTATTTAAAATGTATAGTATAATTATATCAAGTTCTGAGTGAAGGTTCTGTAACAAATTTATGGATTAGATTTTGATTAATTTCTAAAACAGTCATGGAAATCGCTTGAATGGTATTAAATTTAATCCAACAAACAGTAATTTTTTGTTGTACGGGTTAAACATATAAAACAAGAATTACTCATTATATGTTTCTCATGTTTAGAAATCAAAAGATTAAATTTTAATTTTTTTTATAGGTTGTAAATTATGAAAAAATTAAATATTTTTATAAAATAATTTAATTAATATATTTTTTAAATCTTTTTTGTTGTTCAATGATTATATAAATGTATTATAATAATCTTCAATCAGAATTATTTTCCATATGTATTTATTTTTATAATTTTTTATTACTTAAATTTAATATAACTAATAGAACAAAGATTATTATTAACACTCAGAAAGTCAGAACCCTTGTTTTTTTAATATATACTTTTTTCAATTTCAGAGCTTGTTTCAAAAAATTACCTCAAATTCTTTGTTTTAATACAATGAGGTATACATTTAATATGGTGACAATGATGAAAGAAAAAGTGAACACTCATTTTTCATTTCCTATGATACTCGATATGTCTGGATATGTAGAAAAACATTTAATGCCCCAACATTATCTTGAAGAAAAAGAAATGAATGAAAACGAAGGAACAGAACAACAAGAAGAGAACTATCAATATGAACTTATTGGTGTGACAGTTCATACAGGAACAGCAGATGGTGGGCATTATTACAGTTTTATACGGAATCGTGAACGTACAAATAGGTCTCAAACACCAAGTACTGATCAATGGTATCTATTCAATGATGCTGAAGTGAAATTATTTGATGCTAGTCAACTAGCAGCTGAATGTTTTGGTGGAGAAATGACGGTAATATACATATGAGTTAAACTAGTTTAAGTTTAGTTTTAGTTTAGTTTCCGGTTTTATTCAACATAGTATTAGAAAAAGTAGTTAGAGAAGCAGCCTTAGATAAGGAAGGAGTAAAACTGGGAGAAAATAACATTGGAATATTGGCATATGCAGACAATATAGTCTTGATGGCAGAAAGCAAAGATAAACTTAAAGAACAATTAAAAAAACCCATAAATGCTGCTAAACGTGTAGGCCTAGAGATTAACGCTGAGAAAACTGAGTATATGGTTGTGCAAAGACATGAACAAATAGGATGTTGTAATGAGGTCTTAGAAGTTGAAAACTACAAATTCAAAAGAGTGCAGCAGTTTAAATACCTTGGCACACTAATTACACAAAATAATGAAATAGGTACGGAAATAAAAGCAAGAATACAAGCTGCTAATAAATGTTATTTTGGCCTGACAATGTTATTAAGATCTAGAGTAATCTCAAAAAACCTGAAGTCCCAAATATACCAGACACTTATCAAGCCAGTGGTGACATATGGGTCGGAAACTTGGACCATGAGGAAAAAAGACGAAAATGCTCTTTTAGTGTTTGAAAGAAAGATACTGTGGAAAATTTATGGACCATGTATAAATGAACCTACAGGTGAATGGAGAATACGTAAAAACAAGGAACTTCAGAATTTGTATCAAAGACCAAGCATTAAAGAAGATATCACCAAAAGAAGACTGAAGTGGGCAGGACATTCTTGGAGAAAAACAGGGTCATAGATAAAAATGGTACAAGAGAGTGCACCGAAAGGAAAACGACCACTTGGAAGGCCGAGGTTACACTGGGAAGATAGGATCAAAGAAGAAATAGAGAAAGTGAGACTAGGATTAGATTGGAAGGAGTTAGCTTTAGATAAGGAAACATGGAGACAAATCTGTTGGACGACATGGTCTTGAAGGCCAAAGTCACGGAAGAAAAAGAAGAAGAAGAAGCAGTTAAACTAGTTATATTTTACATTTTGAGCAGAGCGAGGAATTGTTTTATGTATAACTTTATTTTTTATTTTTTATTATTTAAAATATAATTACAATCTATACAACAATTTAGTACAATAAGTAATTTAGATATAGTATTTATATATCGAGAATAACAGATGGGGGAGGGCACTCAGTAGTGTCACTCGACAGATTAAATTAGAAGATCTCTAGGCCAGGAGCGTTTTAAACGTCTCTGGGGGTTATCAGGGATTGTTAGAGAAGATATGCGTTTTATTAATGGATTGTAGTGTTGGATTAACTTGTTATGAAAGGAGACGTAGTGAGACTTTGTTAATTGAATGAGTGATGGAATATTTAGATCTTTGTGGAGATTATTATTTGTGATAAACCATGGAGCAGAGACAATTTGCCTCAGACAGATGTATAACTAAGAAAAACTAATGAAATATCACAATACAAAAACAATTTCAATATTTACAGACGAAATAGAAATTATTTTCATTTTATCTCAAAAAAATAATAATTATAGAGCTTCGTAATTTTCGCTGAATATTAGTATTGTTGTTCTCAAGGGAAAATATAATTTTCAAATATTGTTTACTTCTGTGCTATTAATATTAAATATCCTCATATCTTAAAGAATTTTGTTCAAACAATAGTTTTATTTTTTGTGAATATGTTTTATTTTATTTGTAAAAACTTAAAAATAAATTGAATAATTATATTAGTATTATGTATATATATATTTAATATTAATTGTAGCTTTTCATTAAATTAATTACATCTAAATCCAAACGTTATATTTTTATGGGTTTAATTTTTTTTTTTTTTGTAAAAGATTTAAATTAACCTAATAAATAATTAAATAATACAATTATTAAGTGCTCATACTAGTAAATTTATTAATAATCTTCAGACATAAAGGGAATTTTGACGTTTTATTTTTTAAATTTACTAATTAAATAAAATTTTTGATTTCAGAGTAAAACATATGATTCAGTTACAGACAAGTACATGGATTTGAGTTTTGAAAAAACAAATAGTGCTTATATGTTGTTTTACGAACTTGTTAAGCCTACTGATCCAGAAATAGAAGAACATGATATTTCTAATGATATAGAAATATGTCCTCCAATAAAATTAAGCAATGAATTAGAAGGATGGATTTGGCGAGATAATAGACAATTTTTACAAGATAAAAATATATTTGAAAGTGCTTATTTCCAGTAAGTTATTGTAGGTTTTAATTTTTTATTTGTGATTGATATTCATTTTTTTATTTTTTTAAGATTCATGTGGCAAATATGTGCATTTATTCCACAATCATTAGAATCTTTGGAAGAAACAGAAGATTTAGCTGAACTTGCTACAAAATTAACTTCTGCTTTTTTCCTAGAAACTTACATACATGCTAAAGAACGAGTACATATTTATTTACATTCATATTTATGATTTATTATTATATTAATGTTAAATTATAAATTTACAGTCTACTATAATGCAATGGACAGAATTGTTAACCAAACAGTTTAGTGCTTCGCAGTCGGGTTGTGAATGGTTTCTGCAACAAATGGGTGTTGATGGATGGTGGCCACTTAAAATTTTTATTAAATGTCCAAATCAAATTATAAGACAGACATTTCTTAGACTATGTATGCATGTAATTCAGTGCATTAGGTGAGAAAATTATTAATTTATTTTAATAAAAAAAAAGTACATAAAAAAATAATCTTTTCGTATTGAAATTGTTTTATAATACTAGTTCAAAGTCAATGAAATACATTTTTAAAATTTTATTTTTTTAAAAATAAATCATACTCAAAATACAATTAATTTATATGTTATAATAATATAATTTTTATCTAAAATCAAGTATTTTACAAGAAATTTAATACTTAGATTATTTGTTTATTTACATTATTTATTAATGATTTGTATAAATACATTTTTGCATTTTTGTGTTATCATACTTGCACAATTTATGTTTTTCAAAATTTTAAAGTCTATTAACAATAATTTTATTACCACTCAGAATTGGTTTGTACACATTCATAGGTACATTAAAAAATTTAAATCCAACTGTGAAAAATAATTTTTGTAAGTATGACAAGTAAGTATCTTTTCAATTATAGACAAGAAAAACAGATGTTTCTAATATCCTTAATGACTATAATAAGTGATATATAATAATTGATAATTTAAATTGACAAGTATTTTAGAACTTTTTAACTCATTTAAAACATTTTTTTTTTAATTCCTAGAATTATCTTGTAAAGTTAAAAAAACGATAGTCTTATTGTACTATTAAATTGCCACTAATAACTTAATTTCACTTAAACGAAAAATATAATTTATATTATTTTAAATCTAAATTTAACACAACTATTTTTAATTCAAAATGTGTTTAATTTTTCAACAATAAAAATGTTATAATAATATTAAGATATTAATACAAAGTTAAAATAAATAAAAAAAAAAAAAAGTTAAGATATAAAATAAATAATATTATCACTATTAAAAATAAAAATAGCTATATAAGATTCTTATTATGAAAAATAAGTTTAAAAATCTATCACAAATACAATTTGTTTTTAAAAGTCTAATGGAAATAAATATTAATAAATTATTACTAGTTATTTATGATTACTTTTAATGTTACATTTAATTAAAATTATTAAATTTTATTCTATGAACTGTTTTTAATTTCAGGCCGTATATTTGTTTCTTTGATAATTCCTTTATAATGGATGATAATAGTGAAATTTGTGTATCATGTTTAAGTTCATTTGTGCGCACAGTTGTATCTTTAGTAAGTATTTTGTTATATTACTGATTAAAAGTCAAAATACATTGTTTAAATTTACTTCATTTTTATTATATAGATGGAACAAAATATCAAAAATTGTATTCGTAATATGACTGAATATTTTACATTGTTACATGAATTTAGTAAATTAGGTGACGAAGAAAGTAAATTTCTAATAGCTATTCAATGTATTACAACAGTAATCAATTTTTATTTGGGTTTAAAAGGGCATGAATTTGTAAGTATAGTCTCTATGTATAGTTAAATTGATTATTTATGAAAGAGCCAAGTCTATAAAGTGACACTTTCGGAAAATTAAAAATAACTTTTTTTTTGTATAATTTTACATGAAAAAAATTATAAAAAATATTTTAAATTTTCATGTATGTATTTAAATTTTTTAAAACCAATTTTTCAAATTTTTTTTACTAACAGTGTTAATTTAAATTGAACAAGTTTGACCCATTTTATAAACAAATGTGTTCCTTAACTCATTTAATAAATAAAGTTACTAAATCATAAATGGTATTGTGTGCAATACAGTGATGTAAACCAAAACTATTCAACCGGTATATTTTTATATGACTTAAAATATATAAATTATTGAAAGGAACTTTTCCCAATTTTTTTTTCATTTCTCATTGCATAACATCTTATTTAAAATAAAACAAAAACTACATAAACATTTAAAATATTGTAATTTCTCAAACTTAAATTATTTTTCTTTAAAATTATTATCAACTTACATCATAATATCTTGATAAGCATGTGAAAAATAACAATATATTTGTATAACAATTAAAATCAACCAAAAACTAATTCAAATTTAAAATATAACAATTTCTCAGACGTAAATTATTTTACTTTAAAATCAACTTACTTTATTAACAGCTGTTATTATCCAAACAATTTGATCGACAAAATTTGTTTTCATGGACACCCATTGAGAGGGCAAGATGGGGTTCGCCCCTTCCTGAAAAAATAATATAAAATAGTAATTTTTTTAAACATTATTATCATTATTATACTATATAAAATAATATGAATTTAATAATTTATTTTAAAATTCTTTATTATCATTATTAATATTAGTATTAAATATAAAATACACAACTGTTATCGTATTGATTGATAAATATCGATCCAAGATAATTTGTTAGAAATTTCTCAACCTTAGTAATTTATGGATATTTTATCAAATAATACATGTGTTCATTGTCAAAGTGTGAACTTGAACAAAAATAAATTCATCCAAGATGTCATTAATTTATTTGGAATGAAAGGAAAAAATTTACAATTTTTAATTTCCAATACCGAATAATTCATTTGATTTTAATATTTTCAATTTTTTTTTTCCTGTACATAGAATGTATTTTAATTAATTATTATATACAATGAAATTATTAATTATATAAATAATAACATATTTATTTTTATGTGTTAAAATCATATTAAACCTTTATTTAGCTTAAATTAAAAAAAATTAAGTTTGCCTCCCCTTTAAAAGTTACCTATGGGTGCCCATGTTTGTTTACATTTATGAATGGTATCAAATATGGTACTAAGCGCTGTTAATAAATAAATTAAATGTTTGAAACTCCATAGTAAAATAAGTATCATACAAAATTTACTTCTATCAAAAGTAAACTATCCGCTTCTATCCAAAGAACATATTTGTTTAAATAAAGTAATTTTCCAAAAAATTGTGACTTATCACCTTTCATTAATAATTGATTCAGTTATAAGTAAATACCCAGATAAATATTTAATTATGTTATAAGTATAATGATTTTTTTGCACAGAGTGATAGTCCTAATATTAATGGGGTTGATTGTGAAGATGAAGAAGAAGAACTTATTCCAATGTCAACTGCAGATCGAAACAAGCCACCTTTATCCCTTGAAAAATTAATTGCTCTTGTAGTTTCATTGGTAGAAAAATCACGTAACATTAGTGGTCAACTTGACTTATCAGATAATGATTTATATGTATTACAAGGAATGAAGGTAATTTATTAAATCAGTTATACAATCATAATCTGTATCTAAAATTCAAAAAAGAATTAACTGCTTAATTATTATTTTTAGGGTTTTCCATTTATAATTCAACAAATTAAAGATAATACCAATTTGCATATGACTAAAAATCTTATATTTTCTTTATGTCGGAATGATTCATCTCAAAAAAATGCCATACTTGCTAACGAAATCATAAGCCAAATTTTAAATATTATACAAAAGAATGTTAATAATTCTGAAGTAAGAGTGTGTTAATTAAAATTATGGATTTACTTAATTAAAAAGTTTTTATTTTAGGTTACTCAGCCATTTTTTAAAATGTTAACTTTATTATCTGAAGGAAGTGTTGGTGGTAATGGAGGATTACCCCCTTTTACTGAATTCATATTAAGACTTTTATGGCAATGCACTGAAAATGGTCCACAAGTAGCATTAGAATGGCTTGGTCTTCAAGTCCCTCGTAATAAACAAGTGTCTGCTTGGGTACTTAATGGTATGGATACATGGGTTGAACGTTTTTTATTAGCTCATGGAAATGCTCGGGTTCGATCAGGTAAGGAAACATTTAAAATTACTTAAAAAAAAAAAGAACAAACGTTTTAATGTGAATTTCATATTTTTAGAAGTTTATAATTATTATTTATTTATATATTAAATTAGTTTTTGTAAAATTCTGATTAATCTAAAAGTTGATCGTCTTATGATACAATAAAAAATTCTGAAACAAATCTATATTTTTTATGATGTTGACTAAAATTTTTTTAAATTCTTGTGTTATATTTATGTTTTATAAATCATGTACTTTATACAATATGTAAAAATCATTTAAAAAAAAAATGTAGGGAATTCTTTAGTAAATATTAAAAAAATTAAAATATTTTTTTGTCATTAAATTACATAAGTTGTTGAAGTAATAATAATAAAAAAAAAACATAATTTTCTGTATATATTGTATGATTGTTGGACATTAGCTGCAACTGATTTATAGCTTCCGCAAAAATTCCTTTCATGTGCTATTTCTATTCATATTAATGAAAAGTGGCAATTTATGTTTTGTAAAAAAATACTGTGTTACATATGATTTCCTAGTATTTATTAGAACTATATTATTAGTTTATCAATTATTTAACAGAAAATTATAATATATTTTTTAAATATGAATTTCAGTATATAGGGTCAAGTGGGGTAAATGGAAATACAATTTAGATGTTTAACAACTTTTTTAATTTATTCATATTGTAATTATTTTTTTATTTTTGGTTTTGATAAAAAATATTTTACTATACACAATATTCGTCTAAAATTTCAATGAAAAGTAAATATAGTTGATTTCTTTAAGAGAAAAAAAAATTCAAAATTGTATAAAAAAATTTACATTTTCCCCATACTTCTGGGGATAATGGTAATAACTATTTTCAACTGTGACTGTTATACTGAACTCACATAAGGGGCAAATTAAATTGTTCTGTTACAGCTATCATTATATTATTTTATATGATCGATATCTACATCCATTTACCCCAAATAGTTTAGTGTGCGTGGGGTAAATAAAAATAAAAGTATAATTCATAATATTATATCCCTGGGGCAAATGAAAATTTGTTTGAATAACATAAAATACAATTTAATTATTTAAATAATTAGGTATTTTGTAAACTTTCTAAATATATAAACAGTTTTTTGTTTTCATATATAGTGATAATAACAATGTACAGTTAAAATTAAAAATAAAATAATAAAGTAAAAGCCTTTTAAATATCACATGAATTAGAGTATGAATAAGTAGGTAACATAGTCCCATAAATAGTCATAATTAAATAGTTCATAGTTCCTAAACTGATTATTTTTCATTGACATTAATTTATCCAGGAAATGTGTATAATGTTTTTCTATTCTTTTTGTATTCAGTTGGTGATAGTAATATTACAAGAATCATCTCTACTGTAATATCTGACAAGTTATTTTCAGTAATATAAAAATTATTTCTAATTCCTCTGATATTTTTTTATATATTTTATTTACCTTTTTCATGGCAGAAACAGCTTTTTCGATATGTTTCACAGTATATTTTGGTCCTAATGTTTTTTTGGTATAATTGCGTACCCTGCAGTCGAAAAAAAAAATTATTAGATCATAATATTTCAAATTATATTTGTTATAAATATTTACGTTTACCTCAATTTATTTTTATTTTATATTTTACAAAAAATATACAATTCAATAGAAAAAGCAATATTAAACTGGGTTTATGACTGTATAGTAAAGAAGTGTATATAAAATAATAATTTAATTCAAACTGTAATGTTTTACTTACATTTTTTATAAAGATGCTCTTCTTAGAAGCTGTTGAGCAGAAAACATAAATTAAAATAATTATAAACACTTTTCAAGGGATAGCGATTTGTACATAATCTCAAATTTTTCATATTTTCATCATTATACACTATTATATCTTATGTATACTATGTTTACCATGATACCAAGTTCCTTTATTACTAATAATTAATTTTAAATAATATTTTTTCCCTTTTACCTCAATTTCCATTTACTCCACTTGACCTTATACATATGTACTGCAACTACTGTACTCAACTTATAATAAATTAAATATTAACTCAAAAGGAGCACACACTACACATTTCATATGTTTTTACATTTTTATTTATTGTATAATGAGATATTTATTTGAATATATATTTTAACCAGTAAAGACATCATGTCTTTTTTCAATTCATTAAATAATGTTGTTTATATCAATATTAAGACTCTTATAAATTGGTATCTTATAAATTTACTTTTTAAGCCTTAAGTTATTCTTTCTCTTAGAACTAAAATTTATTTTTCTAGTTAAACTATTGAACACAAAATTAAATTATTAAATACTAATTAAATTGTACTTTTTAGCTGCTAGTATGTTATTAGTATCATTGGTTCCAAACACACAATTTCGACAAGCATATAGATCAGCACGAGGCATGTGTACATTACAAAAAGAAGTTTTGTTAGCATCAGATGCAAAAGAAACATTGCATGAAATATTCAAATTTCTTTTAAATCTTTTAAAAATGGCTAAAGAGTATACAGATACAACCCAACATGGATCATCTAAATTAACTGCCTATTTTGTTTTGCTCAATTATTTTTTGATATCAAGAACAGAAAAGTTGATGGTAAATATTATGATAATTATTTTAATTTTTATGAGTATAAAATATCTAAAAATATTCCATCACTTAAAATTCAATAAAAAATATTAAGAAGGTTATTGTATTAGTATGGGCTTAGTAGACTTCTTGGGAAATTTCAAAATGTAAGTATTGTATAAAATACAATTTATTAGTGTACAGCTTGTCTTATTTATTATAATACATATACATTTTAAGTTCTACTATATAATATTTGGTTACAACCATGAAGAATAAAAATACTTATTTATTCATAAGATATTTCAAATTGAATCTCTGATTAAAAGTAAATTTAAGTGTTCGAATATTATATAAATATACACTTTAAAATGATCTGATCCTAACATTTATATATTTGATATGGTTTTAGTATTATTAAAAAAAAATATATATATATTTCAAGATAGTATCAAATACGTTTTTGACCAGTGGTGCACAACCTGGGAGTTGCAATCCCTAAGGGGGTCACCAATAATTTAACATCAAATGAAAAAATTTATTTATTAGGTATATATTTTATATAACTTCATATTTATATTTTAGATTTTATAAAACTCTAGTTTAGTATTTTTTTATTATGTTTTGTATCAATTAAGTTAAATAAATATAATTTTTGTATACATTAAGTAAATATTTATTATACACTTGTATACATTAAGTGAATATTTACTATACACTTGGCTAATATTGGTAGGAATTAATTTGAGGGCTGTGGATCAAGAAAGGTTGCATACTTTTCTAGACAATTACATTTTTAATTTTGAAAATAATGTGGAATAAATTATTTTTGTATAATTTTTAAATATTTTTTGTATATGTTTATAGTTTGGACCACATTTGGTTGAACTTTGGCAATTATTTCATCCAAAACTCTCTGAACCAGCTATACCAATACATCATAATAAACAAAGTCTATTGATGTTATTTTATAATGTATTATCTGACTGTACAGAAAATGTGCAAATACTTATTCAAGATCCATATTTTGTCAAAAATATTGCTTTCAATTACATTTTGTGAGTAATCTCAGTATGACAAAAACTTAATTATAATATTAATTTATTTATCAATTATTTTTAGAGCTGATCATGATGATCAAGAAGTGGTAATTTTTAATCGTACTATGTTACCAGCATATTATGGACTTTTAAGAATTTGCTGTCAACATTCTAAAGTATTTTCAAGACAATTAGCAGGGCATCAGAATATAAGTTGGGCTTTTAAAAATATATCTCCTCATCCTACACAATATGCAGCTGTAAATGAATGAATTTTAACTAATGTATATTTTTCTCAATTTATTAATTTGTTTATAAACTATTATTTAGGCTGTTGATGAACTATTCAAATTACTACAGTTATTTATTAAGAAATATCCAGATTCTAGTGAACAAGAAATTAATGATATAAATCAGTATAGACGAGATACAATTCAATTATATGTATCACATTTAGATGGAAAAGCTGGCTGGGGTACTTTAATACCAGTTGCTAAAATTCTTTTAGAAAATGAAGATGATAAATTATTTTTCATTCATAATCGAGGTTTAGAAATGTGCTTTGAAGTAATAATTTAATTACTAAATAATTAAATTATTTTATTCAATATTAATTTTTTGATGTTTTAGGGTTTTCAAACATTACATAATATGTATCATGAAGCTACTGCTTGTCATGTTACTGGTGATTTAATTGATATGCTTGCTTTAATTTTGGATATCACTAAGTGTTTACAAATGTCTCAAGAGCAAAAAAAATTGAATGATAAAGAAACACCACGCACTATAATATTGACGTATAAAGAATGGCCAGACTTATTACGAAAGCTGGTTACATTACTTAATACTTATAATCCTAAAGAAATGAGACAGTCAGTATTAGGTAACATTAATTATGTTCTGTTATTACACTTTTTTACAAGTATTAAGAATTTAAAATATTTTTATATTATGAGTTAAATTATTTGATTGTGTTATAGTTCTGATTTTTATCACTTTGATTTTGTAACTTGAAAATATCTTAAAAATTATACAATGATGTATTAATTTGGTCATGTAACATTTATAAATTGATTTTTCAGATTTGTTAAAAGTACTTGTTGTTTTAATGCCAATTGAAGTTATTAATGTACTTCAACCTATCTTGACTCATTGTCATGCTGTTTGTATGGACAGTAATAATGGTATGCCTATTGGTCCTTATTTTCCTCGACGAGGACATAAAGTTCCCATGCTTAGTTTGAAGTCAAATACTAGGCCTATAAGACCCATGGTACAAATGGCTTTAACACATAACCAATTAGATTTGACTAAAGTAAGAATTATTAAGTATTTATTCACAGTTATACATTAATTGTATCATTTTTTTTTTTTAGGGCTGTGATCCTCAATATGATGCAGAATTATCTGCATTTTATGCACCTTATCATGATTTCATTGATGTTATGTGCCGCACTGCTGTTAATAATGATTGTTTGACTGAACCTCTTGTAGCACTTAATGCTATGATTGGATATGAATCTATTCCATTACACCATACAAATTTCCCAAAGTTTTGGCTTGATGTGCATAATATGAATGTAAGTGTTTAAAATTAAAATTTATTGTGCCTTGTTTCTAATCAATATATTTTTTAAGGGTCCTAATTTATCATATTTAAGACTGTTATCTAAAAATAATTACTTTGTTGATTATTTGGAATCTACTCTTATTGAAGAACGTCTTAGTTTAAACAATGATTTAATATATGATTTTGTTAAAACATTCTTTCCTGAGGTAATTCCTGCTTAAAAATTATTATAACTATCCATTATTATTCAATAAATAAATAATATTTAATAGATGGCTGCCAGCGTACTTTCACATCACACCTTTGAACTATTAGAGAGTGTTATTTTCAATTTGCCAAACGATTTGGAAAAATTGAGTGAACTAGAAACTGAAAAAAGGATGTTATCCAACTTAAGAGCTTTGAGGGTTTGCTCCTTAGTTAAACCTCCTGTACAAGAACTTAAAGTTATTTTAAATGATATAAAAACAGCAGCTCAGAATTTGATTGAGAAAATATGCCCTCTGCCACCAGGTAATAAATATTTCATTATTATTCTTAAGTTAACTCAATATAATTATTTTATTTATAATTAAATTATTCTAAGAATAACATTTTTTAAATAAATTAAAACATATGTTGATGAAAATTAAATTTTGATTTTTAGAGATTAAATTAAGTTTTAAATTAGTAAATCATGCGGACGTGGTAGTTTAGTTATTGTAAATATTATAGGCTTTAGTACTGATACAATGACCATTGCCTATTATCAACTATCTTGCATTAACAGTGTTTCATATTATTATTTTTTATCGCGCATTTGTTGTTGTCAATATATTTTAATATAAATAAATGTAAATTTGATAATTTTTTAACAGGCGAAAATGATACAAATGAAACTGAAGTAAAAGATGATGATGAACGGATATCATGGTTACGTCGAATTGAAACTACTACTACAGACTTTATTGATGCCATTCCCTTACCCAAACATGAAACTTCGCCTAGTGAATTAGAAAATAAAGAAATTGCTGGGCCACCAGATAAGACTTAATTTAGGTTTTTTCTGTGGATTAAAAAAAATCGCTGCTAGTCTTTCAAAACTGGATTTATAAATAATTAATGTAATTTATGTTTGTTTTTAACATTTATTTGTGATCTCCAAAAATGTTGCGAAGTTTTGTTTTCTTTTTTTTTTTATTCAATCGACTATTTTGTAAAGCCAATAACTGTTGGGATTTGTTATTTTTATCAATTGCCCTAGGATTTTATGTGGATTAATCCACCATTTCCCTCCCTTTTTATTCTATAATTGTTCAAAAAATAATAATTTTAGTAAAATTGAAAATAATGTTTTAATTATTTTATTAATATTATTATTATTATTATTTTTTCTATTGAAAGAACTTATTAAAGACTTTCTAATCATAAATTATTAGATTAGTTTTTTTTTACAGGGAAATGTTGTTTTCTATTATCATATTGTACATATTATAAAAATAAATTTGAGTCTTTATGAGTTGTAATTATATACATTAAAAAATTTATATAACTGTAAAAATGGAATGAAAATTTCTTTATAAATGTACAAAAATAAATAAAAGCAAAAAAAGACTTAATTTTAACTAAGTTTTATGAGCTAACAAATTGTAAAAGTTTTTTGATCCTGTGAACCATCACTTGTACAAAACTGTCTTCAGATTTGTCCTGTAACAAATTTTAAATCATTAAATCTTAATTTTTTACTTAAATAACAGTCATGTTAATATTAATTATTATTTAATAAGCAACTAATACCATACATTGTTTAAAAAAATAAATATATGTGGAAATATATATAAGTTTTCAGTTGAAAAGATACTGATACTTAGTTTTTAATCTAACAGGCAATATTTGGTGTAAAAAAAAATCAGAAATTTTTATTAATTATTAACTAGAGTTTTTTAATTAATAACTATAATAAATTATTATTTATTAGTAAATGTTAGTGATTCAACAATTACTGCCAAATCTTTATTATTAGTAAAAAAAACTACTGTATTACAAAAAACTGATCTTCATTCGGCAAATAAAAAATGCTGCATGTTGTAATTTAGGTATAAATGTAAATTTTTTTTTGAATAATTTTTTTTATACAAGGTAGAATTATATATAGAATATAATTAAAAAAAAAAAAAATTACAGCACATCATATAAACATTTAGATTTGTAGAAGATATTTAGCATTCAAAGAACCTAGAATATAGATTTTTAGAATTTACAATAGAAATTTTAATATTTTAATTTAAATTTTTTAGATAGAAATATTAGTTTAAAGTCATTTTTGTTTGTCAAATCAATTTGTTATACGAGATAGATATTATTGTATACTTTATGAGTATACAAATAATTATTTTTCTCAGTAAATTGATTTTATAGAGGTACAAATTTTAATTGTGGTGCCAGTTGGTTTGATTTTGTTTTATATTATTTCATACAATTAATATTTTGGCATATGCGAATAGCCATTGACTACTAAAAATAATATCACATAAAGTAACACCCCTATTATTGATTAAACCAAAATACAACAGACAGTTACATTTGAATAAATACTCCCAAATTGGTCAAAAAAACATTTCTTAAATTTAGCCTTCATTGTCAGATTTTGAAAGTTAGAAGGGCTCAATGATTCAAAGATACATTTTCAATATCATCCACTTTTTTCAGTTTTTAATTTTTTTTTTTTTTTTTGATAAAATAACAATATTAATTGAACAATAAAATTTATATTCATTTCAATAAAGTTATATAACTGGACAATTTTTTACACAAATTAATATTGAAGAACTAAAGCCTCTTTTTGGTATTGAATGAACGCTAAGCAAAATAGATTATTGTTTATTATCTCTATAATATGTATATTAGTAGCTTAATGACAGCTAATTGCTATGGATGATTACATTTGAAATTACACATAAATAATTATATAATGATGCCAAAAAATGGAGATGGGAAAACAATGATAAATATTTTACATTTAATAAAAATCAAAAATTGTTTTGCCGTATTCACTACATTTAAAAAGTATAACTTTCATGACTAAAATTTAAATTTGTTATATATATTTTTTTCATAAAGATAACACTACTAAAATATTTTAAAACATACGTAAAAATATTAAATTTGCTAGTTTTTTCATTATAATATTTTATAAAAACTCACTTCATTTATTGCAAAAAGTTTTTCAAGAAATGCTTCATTAAATACTTTCACCAACCCTTGTCTTAATTCTTTTAATTCATCAGGTGTCACGCCATCGTCATCATCATGATTTGGACTTCCTGATCCTAAATAATAAGTTAATAATAATAAAAAGATTTTTACGAATTAATATTTTTATTAAATGCTTTTACTGTTCAATCCTTTTGGACGATGCACATTTTGTACAGGGCTGTGCATAAAATAAAAATCTGTATGAGCCCATAATATGTACAGACATACTTCCACAATTTGTCTACAAAGTATATGTTGACTTTGGTCACCTTCAATATCTTTATTTTCAATCTCATTTTCATTGTAACTTTCACCAAATAACTTAAAACAAATGGATAAAAAAAGAATCAATAAGGTAAAATAAATGAATTAACATTAAATTCAAAAATATATAGTATATTTAATATTTTATTTAACAAAATTTTGCTTATTTTGTTACATAAATATAGAAATTTTAATAAACTTTGGTGGTTAAAACCTTGGGAAAAAATAAATGTCCTAAAAAAAAAAAAAAAACATTTTAATATTGGTCATTAAATAGCTTAGTGAGTACAAGAAATGTATTGACTGATATCAAATATAAATTTCAATTTGAAAAATTATATTGAAAAAATAAATTTCTACAATGCTATTAATAAGCTTAGACAAATTATTTTAAGAAAAATATAAAAATGTATTTGAAAGTCAAGTATACACGAATTCAATTGAATTAAATACTTTTATTCTATATACCAAAAATTAAAAATAATTTTAGAATAAATCAAGTAATAATATATCTAATAAGCATTATAGATATATAACTGATATCTAAAAATATACCTTTAAATATATGACAGATATATATAACTTGATTTTATTGCTTACATGAACATTTTGACAACCTCCAATTGTTAAAATACAATAATAATAAAACAACTACCATGTAGTACAGAGGTTCCCAACCTTTTTTAACTGGCAGCATCCTTAGTTATTATCTAAAAATCTGGAGATACCCTATACTCTATACTCAATAGTATAGTAATATATTGTGTATTTATACTAATAATTTGTAATTTCAATTTTATTTAGCTAAGTGCTTAAATAAAAACAAAAATGATAGATATATATATATATATATATGTTACCGGAAAAGATGACAATCAGTCCGTATTGACAATGACTAGTCAACAACGATAATGCCTGATTTAGTAAGGAATTAATGTCAATACCTAGTCATTGATAACAATTCCTAATAAAAGAAGGCATTGATAATAACATAAAAAATAAATTTAATATATTTTAATACTTATTAGCTATTTAGGATAAATAATAATCTTAATCTTTATTGTTACGTGGTAAATTACTATGACACTTGGAATTATATAATCTAGTACAGCGGTACCCGAACTGTGCTCCGTGAAGCCTTTGGTGCTCCGCAATGGTTTGCCTAGGGCTCCGTTCATAACACCACAAAAAATTTAAAAAAATGTTCGTCATTTAAAATTAATATATATTTCATGAAGACTTGAATTTTCCATAATCTGATCGATCACTGATAAAGCGGTGCTGATATTTGTTTGAATGCAAATTTATAACATTGCCTAATATGATAAAGAAATGTTGATAAAACTATGAAATATCCAACATTGCCTAATCTTTCCAGTCATTGTCAACAATGACAAGGATATACTGACAATTCCTGAATTTTCATCTTTTCCGGTGACATACATATTATATTTTATAAAATAAATTATTATACTGAAAATAATATGTATATTATTATAATTTAATTATTATTAAATAATATTATTAAAAATTAGGTAACTTATGGACAATAAAAGAATATAAAATTCTCATTTAATATAATTTAATTTTGGATATGAGAAAAATTATTAGTTAAGATTTAGTAAAATTAAATATAGAATCAAGTGATGTAATTTATTTTTAATAATGATGCATTTAAAAAATAATTTAAATTAAGATACCAAAGGCTAACAATTAATTATTTTACTTAATACATTAGTATTACTTAGATTTATTGTATTTTGAGTGAGCATGTAAACATTTAATGTTAAAACATTAAATTACCTGAATGGGTGACTTTCTAGTTTCACTTCTAGTTTTAGTATTAAATTGCATGAAATAATGTTCAACTGTTTGAATCATTGTAGTAACAATTGTACCCATTGATAACTGATTAGCAGGATTCAAATCACCTAAATTATAAACCTATATAAATATTAAAACTTTTAAAAGTATGCATTCATAGCTTACCCGAAGAAGTAAAACTGAAAGGATCAGTATAAACAGAAATATCCAAAATTCTTCTTTTGAATTTTTGGCCTCCAGTAGCCCATCCACCATCCATTAAATTTGATACATAATTTAATAAGTTTAATATGATCTGATTAATAACATATAATAATCAACATATTAATAACAATAATATAATTTTAATTAAGTGTTTACTAACTCTCAAGTATAAATTAACATTTGTTTCACCATCATTTGGATTAGATTCTTCAGAACATTTTTTTCGTATAGCTCGTATTGTTGATAAATTAACAGAGAATCTGATCAAGGTTTTTCTCATCAAAATACTGTAATGGTGAAATAATCCAGAAATATCTTTATCACCACTTGCATTTATTTCTGAACTTATATCTATTTGAAAATTTCATGTGTATTTTATTACATTATCAAATCAAAACATATACTTATTTTATAAATATAAATATAAATATCTGCTCTACAGTTCAGATAATAAACCATTAATTTTTTTAAGGTCTAGTTATTATTTAATAAAATTCTAAATGAGACTTTTGGTGTACTACTTCAATGTAGATACTACTTCTATGTATTCTCATAGAAAAAAATCATATTTTATTTAAACATAAATAAATAATAATTTATGTGAAAGTTAATTTTTAGATAGATATAACATATAAATATAACAAAAAATATTTTATTTAAAACTTACCATCATTTGTAACATTTACAAATAAAGATGTTAATTGATAAATTTCTTTAAGATACCATTGTTCACATAATGGGGCAGAATTAGTAAGAGCAATTGTTACAGTGTCACGATGACTAATTAGATAGTAGACAACCTAAAGAAAATATAAATTAAAATTAAATTATTTATTTCATAATATATTAATTTATTACTTGGAGAATAGAAGTCATATTTTGATTTCCTAAAGTACCAATGATAGTTTGACATAAGCACATTGCAGGTGTACATATCATCATATATCGATCACCTTCATCTGGCATAAATTCTTTCAATGAACGTTTAAAACTATACATACAATGTTGAAAATAATATTAGTTTTAAATTAATATCAAAATAAATTGTTCAACTTCAATATTTGTATTGTATATATGTGTTTACAACACCATAAAAATACATTTCATTTTAATTATTAAAATTCAGTAATTAATATAAACTGTTAGAATGGATAATAATATTACTTAATAGTTATTTTATCTTCTTATTAAAAAAAAATAAGAAATATAAATATAAATGTTACAATTGGCTTTATGATATTTTTTATCAGGTATTTTTTTTTTCAATCATAAAATAACTTTTAAAATTTTTTTTTACCAAAAATATATTAAATTAATACTAGATTAAAAACTTCCACATTTATTTGAATGGTTTATACAATTATTACTAGATTCAAATATGTTTCAACACTAAAAAACGAAATAAATATTTATATTTATACTATAATTATATTTACTTTTTTTTTAAATTCTTAAATATAAAAATAGCTACATAAGGGAGTCATTCTACAAATTTTTAGTTTTTTTATTAATTACAAAAAAACTGACCAAGTTATTAAAATTTCAAAATTTATGTACAGTATACTGGTTATTGTTGAGACATGACATTTTCATTGAATGCTTATATCGTTTAATATAAGTGGTGTAATTTCTAAAAGATTTAATTTAATTTATTTAAAAAAAATTGAATATTCATGTTTTTTTAGCTATTTTTATAAAACGGTTAATAGAATAATTTTGGTCTGCCAAAGTTCCTCAAACATATTTTCTACTGATAAAAGAAAAATAACTGTGTTTAATTAAAACGAAAAATATTACAATGGTTATTATATTTAGACAAAAGGATAAATATCACGAAAAATTGGCTCTATTTTTATGTTATTAAAATTGTTTAACCTTTTCATTTTTTTATACATAAAGCTTGAAAATTGAATAAGTACAAGTTTTTTTAAAATATTTTCTTTAGCAACAAAAAAAAAAAAAAAAAAAAATTACTATTAAATCACAAAAATTATTAAAAGTTTTACAAAATTATCAGATAATTAAAGAAATTGGATATTTCAACTAATTTTCATTAAATGATGTGTTATTATTTAGTTCAAGACATTTCACAGTTTTGAATTATTTTAATTAAGTTTGTACTGTGTGTAAGTAGCTAAAATTTTTGATTTTCCAAAATTTTAAATTTCTTTTTTTTTAATAGTTAGAATATTAAAAATTCAACATACCTAATTAAGAAATTAAAAAATAACAAATAATTTTAGAAATATAAACTAATTCACCTAATCTTTTTCACTCAGAATTGTTTTTTCGAGGACAATGATATATTGGCTTCAAGTTAAGAGATTAATATAATTTACCCACTCCTGTATCTCATCTAACTACGGAGTCATGACCCACCCAGGAGTTTTTTTTTTAATGAGTTATAAATACATTTTATAAACAAGCAAATTTAATATATTAGGAACATTAACATTTGATAATAATATTCATAAATTACCTAGTTTCAAAAGATGGATGAGCATCAATAGCTTTTATTGATGATAAGCATGCTATAGCTTGATGATTTAGTAAGGCATCAGCACCAGTTGTGTAGGTAGCAATTTTATTTAATAAACTCTAAATTATAACATATTAAAAAATTAAAAATGTAGAAAATTTTAGACTATAATAATTTTAAATATTTACCATTTTATTTTCATAGACATAAATGGGTTTTAAGGTTCTATTTTTAGCTGAAATTAAATCTTTAAGTTCTGAATCAGATTCCAAAATACTTGATATAATGCATTTAAGATAACCGTGGTTAGATATGTAACTAATAAGTTTTGGGTTAATATCAATCAGTAACTCACATAATGTATAGGATAATACCTAAAACAAACAAATAAAAATAGTATAGAAGTTTAGAATTATATGAACAAATACATACTTTGCATATATCATGACCGGATGTTAGGTCAACACAAATTACTTCTAAAATTCTTTCACTTAAGTATTGATCAAAATTCAAAGACTTAATGAACTTAATAGATTCTGAATCAAGAATCTGTTGGTCCATAGAAGTAAGTACATTACTTTTTTGTTTTAAATTCCCATGGTTTAATGTACGGCTATTGGTTGCCAAAAGATTGATCAAAGCTATTAATGAAGAATATAAACTTGCTCGTAACTTTTGAGAACCTAAAATTGTAATTTATAATTCTATAGTTACAGTATTTATACGTCAAAAAAATTATTTCTATATTTTTACCTGATTGTTGAATACACTTAAGTATATTTTGAAGCATGCTAGAGTAAATACTAGACTGTCCAGTAACAAATGAGCCTAAATTAAGATCTGGATTCACAATACATAGCTCTAAATGTTTATCAATAGTATTTTTTAAATTTATTAAAAGAAGTAACTGTGAATTTGTAATTAGTGTTGATAATTCTGACATTTGTGGATAACGAATGACCTAGAAACATAATTTATAAAATATTATTTCTATTTTTCTATGTGAAATAAGATGCACAAATATGTTCAAAATTGTTTATAATTATGATTTACAAATTATCAAGTAAAACTTAACATTCATAATTATAAAATGATTAAATAGACTAAATCTATTCATTTTATAATATATATTTTCTAAAAATTAAATGTAAAACACGAAATTTAATTTTATTGTCCTAGAAGGTATCAAACCAACGTAACTAACATCAATCAAAAGTAATCAGGCCAATAATTTAATGGTGAAATATATAAATTATATTTAAGTATTAAAACAATTTAAGCTATAATTTTACCAACATTAGTGATTGGAATGTTTACTCAAAAACTGAACTTGTTCATGTTTACATTGACATTTATAATAAAAAAAAAAATACATTTCAAAAATAAAATCCATAATTACATAAAATAGATTTAATGAAATATAGTATTCAATATAAATTATAAAAACAAGATTATCAGAAGTTGTTTTTTTTAAGTTTTTAAATTCAAATAGCCTTATTGTTTAATTTAATTTTTATTATTATTATTTTTTTTTTTATTAGCTATTAGTATTTAACTATGATAGCTTAAAATTTACAAATTATACATAATACTACATAATACATTACATTTTAATATTATATAACAAAGCCAGCATCCAATATAAAGGAAATTACTGATTTAATGGCAGTAGTGGATTTTGTATTGAGTATGGAGGATATTAAGAGTTTTAAGTACGTTAACTAAAATAATGCATTTGGTTTGAAGGGCAGGGCAGTCAAATAGAATATGGGATAAGTCGCAGATACATTAATTTAGGTGAAGTGTGCAGAATGGAGAATCATTAGAGCCAAGTTTGAAGGAGTGACTGAGTAGAAGGTGATGCCCCATACGTAGCCTATTAAATTGTACAATGTATAGTCTATGTAAATGTAAGTTATTAAACCAGGTTTTTCTTAGGAAATTAGGTGTAATATTCCTGTATCTTGAGGCGAATCGTGCAGGTAGATTGTTCCAGAAAGAGAGCCAAGTGTTGGTGGAGTTTTATTTTATCAGAGGTGTGAAATCCGAATGTGGGAGTTGAAAAAAGGAAGGAGAGATGAGATTGGATGAAGATTTAGCGAGGTGGTCTGTAACCTCATTACCATGTTACCTGTATGACTAGGAACCCAAAGAAAGTTGATGTTATAGTTTTTTTAATTTAAGGTAAAAATAAGAGACTTGATGCGAAGGATAAGTGGAGACAGGCAAGAGTTAAATGGGTTTGAATTTAAGGCTTGGAGGCACGACATAGAATCTGAGACAATTAAGTAATTATTGGGGGGAAAATTTTGAATTAATTTTAAGGCTTCAATGATAGCATAGCACTTAGCTGTAAAGAAAACGTAAAATCTAGCGTAAAATCTAATGTAAAACGCATATCTAGTGGAGAGAGGAAAGACTGATCCATCGGTATAAACCGCGGTGAAGTTAAAAAAGCGTTCATTAAGATAATACAAAACGGCTGCATTGACCGAGGAAGAAGATATAGATTTAAAGCATTGGAGGATAGATCTAAAAATTGATTATCAGAATGAATCTGAGGGGAAAAAATAGGGAGTCTTAGGATTGCTCGTAAAGAGGGAGTTCGGTAGAATTAATAATATAATTGGTGGAAATTTGAGAAAGAATGAACTAAAATTGATAATACAGGCATAGATTTAGGAACATATTGCCAATTAAGATACAGTGAGTAATAAGTGTCAAAAATACGATGATCGCTATAGGATAATGATTTCAAGAGAAATTTGCCGGTAAGCCAGCAGCATCTGATATTAAATGGTGGGCAAGTATATTCAACTTCCATAGCAGAGCAAGGAGTAAAACTAACATAACCCATTGTGGTTCTGATGCACGAGGTTTGGAGTTTATTAATTTTTTTCCAATTAGAAAAGGAAGCCGACCCAAAAAGGAAGCAACCGTAGTCAAGTTTGGAACGTATAATAAAAAAATATATAGATAATAGACTTGAAGGGTGAGAGCCTCACCAAGTACCAGTTACAGATCAAAGAAAGTTGGACCATCGAGAAACAAAAGCGGAGAGAGATGAAATATGTGGAATCCAGCGCAATTTGGGGTCAAGTGTGATGCCTAAATAGGTAATATTGGGTACAAAGAGGATAACACAATTGTTAAGATATGTATTAAAATTGTTTAAATATCTACAATGAGTGAATATGATCGATTTACATTTATCAGGGGCTACATCAAAAGACACTTTGATTAGGATATCATTTAAATCCAACAGGGCAGAGTTGAGGCTATCAATGGCGAGATTAAGATGTATATTAGAAGAGAATATAACTAAATCATCAGCGTATATAAGACATTTATGACCGGACTGAGAAAGATGCTTTTCAGCAATACTCATATATACATAGAATAGAATTGGGCTAAGGCAGCTACTCTGAGGAAGGCCAGTAAAAGTGGATCGAGTGTTTGACGATCCAAAAGGAGAGGAGAAAACAAGTTTTCTGAAATTGAAGAGAGCGGACAGAACATTACAGAATTTAGAGAGGGACATTTAATGAAAGAAGATAGGTGATGAGGGTAGGTATGTTCATGGAATCGAAGGCGCAGCGAATATCTACAAATGTGGCGATGAGGAATTCCTTATTGTTAAAAGAATTGTAGTGATCGTTGTGCAGGACACTACGATCGGTAACACATTAATTATTTAACGACGTAGCACGTTGTACGTAATCTTGAGACGTGTTGAGAGAGATAGGTAATATTAATAATTGAACACTCTTTATTAAATACTTAGAAAAATTACTGGTTTATTGATTTAACACTTAGAATAAACACAAAATATTAATAACAGTTAAAAACTGGGTAGAGAATTATTACTCGCGGCGATGTGGCTGTTACAATGTCCACAACGAGTAATAATTTATTTAACAGGGGAAATGATTAATCTAACTACCTATCTACATCTGAATAATGCTAAATGCTCAACCCGTATTTATACAGGTTCCAATGACGTAAAAGTGGCCTAATTCTAATATTACTTTATTTTGCCCTCTATTTAGCATTATTATGTAAAAACGTGAAACTACTTGTTGTTTTTACCTTTACCCTGGTTTTCCTGCGTATATGCGAATTTAATCTATTATCTATTTTATACATATATTATTTTAATCTATTATTTTGATAATTAAATTTAGCTGGACCTTGGCGAATTTACTAATATGCGTAATAAGTTATTTTTGATTATTAAATATTGATTAATTAAATGCTGATTATAAAATACGCCTAGCCTTGGGCTTACTACAGAATGGTAAATATTACCGATAAAAGTCGAGTGGTATTCCATTGTACCCAATCCCTTCCTAAAAGCAAACAAGTTTGCAGGTAAAACAGAGTTGGATTCCAGCCACCGATCGAGTCTTGTTTTCAGCATATATTCAAAAACTTTGCAAAGAGAGGAAGAGAAAGCAATTGGACAAAAAGAATCATTAGAATTAGGTTTGGGGATAGGGAAGACACGATAAGATATCCATGAAGGAAGAACCTGACTGGATGTTAAAATATTGTTCATAATAGATAAAAGATAAGCAAGAGCATTTGAAAGTAGGTGTTTTAGCATAATAGGTGATATGTTGTCTAGACTAGATGCGGTAGATTTCCATGAAGATATAGCTAAATTTAATTCTGGCATAGTAAAAACATTAGTGAGAACATGAGGTGGGGAGTATTGAGAGTAATCAGGAGGGCAAATCTCTGATATAGAAAGGACATAACACGGAGCGACTTTCGAATAAAAAGAGTCGAACCAATCGTCATTATCTGGGCAATTGACAGGGTTGATGCAATTTATATAGCGCTTAGCTGTTGATCAAAGGTGATGTATGGGGAAGGATGGATTTAGATTTGAACAAAAATGTTTCCATTTTCTAATAGCCTGGTGGTTTGGGCACAAGCGTTGCGATAATTAATAAAGTCGATTATGAAGCCTGAGTAACAAAAGTTCCTAAAAAATTGGGTTGTTTTTGACAGCTTCAGAACAGTTAGAATTCCACCAAGGAGAGGAGGATGGATAAGGGTTAGTATTGAATCTTTTCTTCGGAATTGTAGAATCAGGGGAGATGTTAATGATACTAGTAAAGGTAGAATAAGAAAAAACTGGAGAGGTAGAATTTGTCAATGAAGAGATAAAATTCTGAATTTGGAGAGAATACGATAACTAATAAGCTTTATTGAAATTGAAAGGTAAGTGAATTGAAGATGAAGAATCCAAGGCGGAATTAGATGGCACGGGATCGATGGCCTTGTTGAAATTAGCTGTTATGATAATGGGGATATGGTCGCTACCGTGAGGATCGTAGAGGACTTGCCAAGATAGATACCAGACGATTTCAGGGGAACAAAAAGATAAATCCATTGCCGAGTTAGTTGAGTTGGGGCGACCCACATATGTAGGACTACCATCGTTGAGAGAACAAAGTCCTAATGATTTGATACAATTATAGATCTGAGAAACACGGCTGGATGTAAGTTCAGAGCCCCAAGCGGGATGAAATGCATTAAAATCGCCACCAAGTAGCGTATTATGCGATATCAGGTTAAAAAATTAATGCCATAGATTGAAAGGAACAGTGGAATTACTGGGGATGTAACAGGACCTAGATGCACTTCGATACCTATGATGTCAATTTTATGGTGGGTAAATCTATTACTGGTAGTGATATCTAAAGGAATTTGTTTAGATTTGAAGGAGTTATGAACAGTTATAGCTACACCACCCAAGCCATCAGAGTGGTCGGAGCTATAAATTTTGAACTGCGACATTGTAAGAGAACGTGAAGGTAAAAGTCAGGTTTCAGAGAAGAGCGATTGAACATTTGTGATCGGATAGAAGGTGTTGTAGGGATGAGAGACGTGCAGGAAGACTTCTCACATTGCACTGAATAATGTAAGTGAAATTATTGAAAATATTCAGATTATTATTTTTTTTGTAAAAATGCCATGGTAATTTTATTAAATTATGTTATTTTTGTTATTGTTATAAATGTTGGTTTTGGAGTCAAATATAGTCAAATTAGTATTTACTATGACTATGGTGAAGACATTTGGTGTATAATACAAGACTGATCAGAAGTGAAATTAGAAATTGGAATAATAAGAAGTGAATTTAGAGAAGGTACAATTAGGAATTGAAGAGAAGCGGGAGAGAAAGGGGAAAATAGGGAGGGAGAATTTATAAGAGATTCTGATAGCTTAAGAGAAAGAGAATGGACTCAAGATAAATCAGTAGTTATTTTCTACTATAAGGCTTTGATTAGGTAGATTGGTTAAACAGCTACCGTTAGGGGAAGAAAAATGAGGTTCGACTGGTAAATTTAATTTGTGTTTATTAATCGGGGAGCGAGATTTTTGTTTTGTCTTCCTGGAATTGAAATAATGATAATAATTATTTAACCTAGGGAATTTTTCTTCCTCTAAGGGGATATTTGGTTTTAATATTTCAGAAATTGGAGGCTGGCTTTAACAACATCGGAAAAAGAAAAAGCAGTGGTGTAACAATTATTTTTTAAAAAGTTAAAGCATCTTTATAGGAAATATTTTCGGTGACCATAATGTATTTAATTTCTTTTTGAGTGGATCATTCCCGACAACTACGATCAGTGGCTAAGTGAGATTGCTTGCAGAAGAAACATACAGGATCAATGCCTTGAGCGCGTGGACATGAATCAACAGAGTGATTGTTTTCACCGCAATGACTGCACCTGAGACTGTTACGACAATATTTTTGTGTATGTCCGAAACGTAAACACCGATTATATTGGATATGAGACCGGACACTGGGTTTGACGTCAAAAATTATGTTAAATACAGAAATTATGGATGGTATTTTTGAGGCGACGAATTTAAGTTCAACTAAACGGGATTAATGATTTTATCATCTTTTTTTAATACTGATGCGTTTGAATGCATCAATCTTGACTGAGGATCGGACGCCTTCGAAAAAATCAACTTCGGAGACTGTGGTGTGTAATATTATTATACAATATGAAAAAATTAGCGTAGAGGGTATAATTGCATTATAGTTATACTCATTTAAGGTGTTTGAATTCAAGCACGAATTACCATTAATAGTTGTGTCGAAGGAAATTTTGATTTTTTTTGAACCCGCAGGCTTAATGCTGGTAATACCTGAGAAATTGTTAGAGAAAAATTTAGCGGCTTTAATGGAATGCCAGTTTCCTAAATTAATATTAGAGTCAATGCTTTCAACGAGAATAGTAATAGGCCCGATATAATCTGGCAAAAACGACTTTTGTAATATGTTGATATGTTTGTTATTGTTGGAGATAACGCTATTGGTAAGGAAAGTAGATTGAATAGAAGTATTATTAAGCGAAGATTAACGTTCACTTTCATATCGATAGCCATAGACCCAGACGTAATTGCAGTTTGAGTAGATGAGGAGCTATAGTTAAATATAGAGCTGGATATATTTAGAGTCGGCAGGTTGTCCATAATTTGTTGAAAACTTGGTGAAACTGGACAAGAAGTATTTTTGATTGGCTTACCGATTTTGCCGACTACCTGGTAACCGGGGCTAGCAACGTTTTTGACATGTTGATTTTTGTTGGTTAGAAATATTATTTTGGCCGGCATGATTTGTGCCACCCGAAGACGACGACATAATTGACGCACGAACTAAGATTAGGAGCGATAATACTGAGCAAGATAATATAGCAAAACAACACCATGAAAACACGTCTGTACGCTAAAACTGCGAGGAGACAAATACGTTAATTCAACTTAAAACATGAATTTTGTTCACATTAACATATAATTAAACAGATAATGTGACATAAACTAAATATCAGAATTAATTTTTTGAAACATTCTTTCCAAACTTTCACCACTAAGTAATATAAATTAAAATATATGATCAGTTGTGCCGAGATCACTGAATAAAAATATTTATTTCAGTCAGAAATACTTTCTTTTTAAGAAATTGCTTAATATGGATAATAAAAAAAAAAAAAAAAAAAAATTCAACATAGAGTTTAATTAAATATATCTTTCCTAAATGTATTCAGGATTATTATGATATAAAATAATAAAATTGTTCTTTTCTGGTTTCTAAAAATAACTTTAAGGTTAATTGAATAAACTTTACTTTGACTCTTAATAATAAAATTCTATTTACTTACATTTTAAAGTTTAATTGCTACATATATTACTTACCTTGCTTTGAAGTGACACTAAAAGGTCTATGACAAATGAAAATCGCTGTTGAAACTCCATAGAAGGTAAATTAGCCATACTGAATATTACAGCGGTTAGTTGATGCCAAGCATCAAAATACTTAATCATACAACTAACTTGGAGACGCTTATCATTAATGCTTACAGCATATGCTAGGAACTCCTAAGGAATTTATTGAATATTAAACTTAATGCATAAATACCAACAAATTATATTAAAATGAATTTAAATCATTTAAAATTACTTGAATTTCTTGTAATAAATTGGCTCTAACAGTTGAAGAACTATCAATTGATTTTAATTCTTTCATCAATATTGAATGTAACTGCTTAACATCTATTAATGGAACTTTACCAGGAATTTCACACTCACTTAATAACTAGAAAATAATTTTTAATTAGTTTTAAATTAATAAACTAGTAACAGCAAATTTATTATACCTGATTGATTAGCTTAGATTCAAGATATTTTAATTCAGGCATATCTTCAAAAGTGGTTTCAAATTCAAGGTCAACTATCTGCAATAAAGATAGTAACTTTTTACCATCTTCTTTACCATCATCTTGATCTATTAAAAATTTAAAATTATAAAATTATAATTATAATTTTAAGTAAAAATAAACTCCATGCTTTCTTAAAATCTAAAAATTGCAAACATAATTTTACCATTATCTCTTGTTAGAGTTGAGTGGTCAAATAAATTGTTGGATGATTGAGATAGCATTAATTCAGATCCAGGCCCACTTAAAATCATGAATTGCAATATATTAATCTATAATTGACATTATATGATTGAATATAATTGAAAATATTTACTTGTTTGTTTTTTTTTCAACAGAACCAATAAATAGTAATATTAACTTTGTCAATGTCATCAACAGATTTTGATGCACATGCATTTTTATCTCAACAGCAATTATACGCATTAACCAATTCATTTGTATTAAGTCACTAGCTGTTAAAATTAATACATATTTTAATATTTTAAAATTCTTTATATTTAATATTTTTGATAAAAAATACTCACAGCTTATTTTTCTGATAGAACTTTCAGTGTAAAATGGCATTGTAGAAGCATGACGTAAAATAAAGTCACTACGAGATTTTAAATACACTAAAACTGGTTTAGATGTTCGATTACTTGAAACTAACACATATATTAATTGATAGCATAATTCTAATAATTTAGAATGGTTTTTATTAGCAGATCCGTTTTTTCGACTCTTTAATGAATCATCTAATAAATCAATAATAGAATGCAAACAATTTCGAGGATTTCCTCCTACACCTAAAAAAAAAAAAATTGTTACAAATTATAATAATACAATTTTCAAATATTATAGAGAATTTTTTTTTTTTTTTAAATTTACCAGCATTTTCAAAACAGGTCTTTTGTACATTGTCTAAATTAAAGCCCAGTAAATAATGGGCTAAATTTGGAGGTGTAGAATTTAAACATTGAAGTAAAAGTTTTAAAATAGATTCTTTACATTTTTTTATGGTAGATGCATCATTTGATTCTTCTAAAAACTATAAAAAAATAAAATAAAAATATTTTCAATATATAAACTAGTTATTTATTTATATACTATGTCTAATAGTAATTATAAGTTATTGATCAAATCAATAAATTGATTTAGATAATGACAGTCATACAGGGATAAAATGCAATTATAACTAATTATAATATTCAAAATATTATATTAAGAAATGGCGTATTGTAAAAATTAAATATTTATCTAAACATATATATTACTTTTGTTGATTCTTCTTCTTCTAGACATTGCACAAACCCATGTCTTATATTTATTGTAAGTTGAGGATTGGAAGTAAAATAAGATACCATATGTGACTGTGGTATTGGATAAGAAGTAATATTCATCAGTATACGAATAGCATGATAAGCATGTTCTGGTAAGTGTGAATAAGTTATAAACCTATAAATAAAAATTATATTAAATAAAACACAAAAAATACAATATATTTATACAAACTTGGATAAGTCAATGATATAATCTGGTTCATTTGTAGCCACATTAATACTAACAAGAGTCTTATGTAATCCAGTATATATAAGAGGCGATCCAGAAGAAATAGATGCATTTAAAAATGCTTGCTGCAAATTCAAAGCCTGTTCTAAAAGACGCAATACAACTAATGTTGTTTTTTCCATGGCTTCTTTACCGCTAAATGAAGAATATAGATCAAACATTTGACAGCCAGTATGCATTATATTTAATAACTAAAAATTGAAAAATTGTTTAATAAAAATAGATAATATTAAACTATTTTTTAAATGCATGTATCTTACAGTTCGTAAAAAGTCCGAATTAGTACATAAGTAAGTCATAATATGAAATCCAGGAGGTGGGTTTACATTTATTGTTGTATTATCAGGCAGCATAACACTACTACCAACAAAGTCTGTTAGTTGAGGCTCATATTGATTCAAGAATTTCAATGTAAGTTCCAAACATAATCCACTAACTTCCCACTTTAATTTAAATAAAAGATGATAATTATAAGTAACAAAAATATTATATATTATTTACTTATTAGTTATTTACCTTTTCACTTTGTTTTTTATAACCTCTAGAGAGACATTTCAAAAAAATATTATGAATAACAAAATTTAAATATGGATCAAATCCTGGAGTACGAGTATTTGAACCCAAAAGGGTTGGTACAGGTTGTTCTGTAAGAGTTGATAATAATTTCAATAATGCAATGGTTAAAGGATATTCTTCATTTCGAGTTTCTAGATCATCTAATTCGGCCTAAGATAAAAAATTAACAAAAAGAAAAATTAATTATACTTCAAATTTAAATATATTGGTGGTACTTACCATTATACCACGACTTTGGTAGTTACTTATAGTTGGTATAGTAACAATCATTTGAGATGTTTCAAGAGTTTGCCAAAAATTCAAGGCTGTTAAAGATGGTGGTGGTTTAACTAATATTGATAACGTTAAAATTAAATCAGCCTTGAGAGAAATTCTTACAGGACATGATACAAGACCTAGTAATACTGAAAGTGTTTCCCACTCTGAACGTTCAACAAATGTTATTTTTGATTTAACACTATTCTCTGAAAAATGTATACATCATAAACAGTAGTTTAAATAGTAGTTTATGCAAGTATTTTGTTAGAAAAAAAAATTAAAAACTATTTAACTAAATCATAGTAATAAATACCAACCAGCTACATTTCTAATTAATTTTAATACAGCTTGAAGTCCTTGAATTTCAAGAGCAGTAATGCCTTTTTGATGGCTTCTTTTGTAAACAGTATCAGTTGGTGGAATATTTTCTTGTCTTAAATTAGTGTAATATCTCATAAAAGTTTTAAAAAAGTGATCCCAGGTTAGATTTGAATTTGTTGCATTTGAATGAAAATGATTAAAAACATTTTCAGCTCCAGTTTCAGAAGTTGCTAATGAACTTAACATATTTAAATAAGGAACAAATAACATATGAGGTAACATGTCTCCTGTTTGACAGATAAATCTATATAATGAAGCTTGAAATTTTTGAGATGTTAAAAATGAAGACATTTTAATATTTTTTAATTGTTCACGAGACGGTGGCCAATAATCTAGATTAATATTTAATTTCAATGGATCTTTAGCATATAATGTTGACATAGCCAATAATAGTTGTTCAAAATGATTTTCTTCACTTGTTGGAGGCTCTAATCCTTCCTAAAAACATTAACTCAATAAATATAGTTAAATCATCAGAAGATAATTTGTTTATCAATTACTTGATAATAAATCAAAATTGTATGTGCTATTTCATCAGATTTGTTACGTATTTCTTTAACAGCATGTGGCATCATAACAATAAATTCAGTTATCAACTGATGAAATTTTTTTATCATGAACTCCTAAAATATAAAATAATCAATGTAAGTATTAATCATATAATTAAAATAATATAAAATAATAAAAGTAAAATATTGATTCAAAAGTAAATAAAAACTAATTCATAGGTATTAGTGGAAAATTGAATAAAAACATAATTAAAATTAAGTTAAATCAATAATGTTTTAAAATGGCATCTTAATTAAATATATTAAGAATTAATGATTGTTATTAGATACTTCAAAGATATTATATATACTTAAATATAAATGAAAAAATATTTTATATGTACATTTTTTGAAATTCTTTAAAGTAGAATATTTTTTTGGTATAGAATTATAGTAGAAGAGTCAACATTAATTTCCAAAAATAGACCAACCAAAAAAAATTAAATAAAAAATTAAATGTACAAACTAAAACGATTAAAAATTTGAAATGATCCTATTAATATAAATTTACAATTTAGATATCTTCTAATATGTAAATAAAGTGTACTGATTCAGTCTAAAAAGATCCATAAATAAAAATGTTATGTTTAGGGACCGGATTTATATGCACAAAAAATCCTCAAAATATGCTTCTAAAAATGCTGTAATATGCTGTAAAATATGTATTTATTTTTTAATATGTACTTAAATATTGTTTAAAATTATGTACAAATATGAGAAATGTATTATAAATATAAATATAATAATGAATTAATACGGTATTAAAAAAAGTATAAAAAAGCTTTTAAAATATTTTGTCGTCTTTGTCGCCATTTAACATTCTTTATCTTCAATCTATGAAGTATAAATACCCACATTAACAAAAAGTGAAAACAAACATTGAATTCATATTTTATTTTTACCTTATTGCATTGGATGATATGAGTATGTAATCTTATCTTTGGAAATAAAGATCGGTCGCAATTTTATCGATATTATGTGGCTGCGATCGTGAAAATACGACGAAAACGAATATATGTGCTATTAATAATAATATGCACTATAAAACTACAAATGTGCATTGAATATGCATTTAATAGGTAAAAACGTTGAAATATGCAAAATATGCAAAATAAAATTAGTGTTATTTTAATAAGAAAGATTTAAATCGGGGACAATGCTCATCAGATTTTAAAAAGCTTATTACAATACATATATGCATTTGCATATAAATCCGGTCCCTAGTTATGTTACTTAAATAGACTAACATTCTGTATATCTATAAATAATTATAATTTTAGTAAATTAGCTTTTAATATTATTTTTAAAACAAAATAATTTTAAATTCAATTGATTGAAATGAATTAAGTTTTTTAATAATTTTATAAACTTTTACTAAAAAAAATAATTCTATTATATAGAATATAACAAAAATATACTTACTACATAGTGAAGAAATTCTGAAGGAGCAACATTTTGATTTAAAAATCTAAATACTTTGTTATCCATAGCATTACTCATTAATGATTCATCAATTTTGAATAAATTTTTAATTTTAAACACATGTTGTGAAGAACGTAATTTTGCAAATGCAACAGCTAATCCAAAAGTAGCAATACTTTTTAATTCAGGCCATTCCCAATCATGTGCTGTAAGTTCAGCATGGGCAGAAGATAAAAACTGTTCTTTAGTATCTAAAAACATGTTTTGAATGAAATCAAGAGTATAAAATATTTATTTTAAAAAGTTTCAAAAATTACCTCCACTTATTTCTTGAGTGTTATTCATACAATCCAAATCAATTGCATACAAAAATGATGTTACCATAAATAAAGGCACTTTACTAACAATCCCTTGCGATTCTACATCTGGCTTTATTTTTTGTAAGTATTGTAATAAACTGAGGGTATTAAAATACATTTTCATACATAAGTTTATAATTGTAGAAGTTAAATGACAATAATAACATTAACAATTATTTGGGCATAAACTAAAATATTTAATTGCTAGAACTAACCTAATGAGTTGTTGTTTTGATAATCCAAATTGAATAGAATAGTAAAATATACATTCTGCTAACATTGACCGGGTCTCAGTAAATAAGCTTACAATAAGTTGATGATGTTTTGGTCCACCTATTGCTTTATTTTTTTGTAGCAATTCTATTTCTTTAGTTAAATCTTTGTTTTCCAAAAATACTTTATAAAATATAAATCATAGTTAAAATTAAAACATAATAACTTATTGCATAAAAATGTAATAATTACTTAAAATATTAAGGAATAATCCATCATTCATTAATTGATCAACATATTGACCAAGATGTTGAGCACATGCTGGGTCTACACGTGGAACCCAAGTACGACCTGTACTTCCCTCTATAAGAAGTCTTAAAGAAGATACTAGCATGCGATGTGCATTATAATACAATAATACTGCAACCAAACCTCGACAGAGTTCTGGATATTTTGGATTTTGGTAACGAGCTATATCACATTCATATACAAAGTTTTATATAGTTGTAATTCATTAACTCATATTTAATAGTTAATAAATATTTAACAAATGTAGAATCTAAATAATATAATTAATTGTTGAATTATTTTCATACATATTATTTTAAAACTATTGGTCAATGAAAAATGTGTAGATGTTATTAAAATATGTAACAATGTTAAACTGCAAATGATTCAATACTCAACTCAATTAAATAAAGAAAATTGGAAAAAAAGGAGGAAAGAAGAACATTTGATGATAAGGCAGGAAAAAAGGAGAATGGAAAAGAAAAAAATTGAAAAGTACAACCCTAAGGAGTTTTTTAGGCACTGTAAAACTTTAAAAATTAAATACAAACTAATAATGCAGTTTGTTGTACACAAGGAAGAAGATTAACAAATAGTAGAAGTAAAGCAGAAAAGTTTCGGAAATATTTTGACCAATTACTGAATAGTGAACACAATGTAAACCAAGGTGAAAATGACAATAAAGAAAAGGTCATAAGTTACTGAAGAACAACAAAGCTGCAGAAGAAGATAGAATATGCAGAAAACTACTGAAACTAAAGAGCCCTTGACTAACTGATAAGATATTCAATCTTTTATTTAGGATATGGCACAAAGAAGAAATCCTAACTCAATGGAAATCATTAATTATCTGTTCAATATTAAAAAAAAGGTGACCCTAAATGCGTAGAAAATTATAGAAGTATATCTTGCCTAGAAGTAGAGTATAAGGTTCTGTCGTGGTTTCTCCTATAAAGAATATAAAATGCATCAAAACAAGTAATTGGTGAATACTAGAATGGCTTTAGAAAGGGTAAATCAACGATAGACCACATATTTACACAATGGCAAATCTTTAGTAAACATTAAGAATATGTGGATGACTCAGTAATTGCTGTACAAGAAGATAGCTTTGAAGTAGTGGAAGCAAAACTCTCTAAAACACTGGACTTCTAACCTATAAAGCTCTACTCACACAAAGAAAGTCAATATTGCCTTAAATATAATATGTCGACTAATCACAGGATGCCTCAGAAACTCACCTACTAGTAGGTATTCCACCACCACTAGACTGACGTCTGATATCCACTAAAATCGAACGCTGTAAACAAAAAAGAGACACAAGGGACCCCATGTTTGGCCACAATGCCCCCGCTTCTTGTCTGAAACCAAGAAAGTCTTACCTAAAGATAACTAGAGTGCTATTAGAAACACCATTACTAAGCAAGCCATATGAATGAAAAAAAACTGATAAGGGATACCACTAGTAAAAGATGGATGGAACCATCAGAAAATTGCCTCCAGGTAACAATCTAGACTAGCCGGTATGGAAGACACTGAATAGACTGCGTACTGGTGTAGAACGGTCAAAAGAAAATATGAAAAAATGGGTATATGGAAATCAAGACATAACTTGTGTATGTGGACAAGAGCAGACAATGTTACACCTACTTGTTTGCTCACGAGGACCAAGCCCATGTACTCAAGAGGATCTTATGATAAGCAACCAGAGGCAGTGAATACAGTTCTATACAGGGCAAAAAAATAAATATAACTAATATGTAATGTATATTACCATACATGGTACCATTATATTATTATGTTATTATTATTCATATTTTACTTAGTTATTCTAACTACTTATTTGATAAATATCGAGGTTTATTGTACAAATTACATATTTATTATATTTTAAATATGATGCCTGAGACAAAAAAAAAAATATGAACATAATAAAAATATCCATTTAGTATTTGCAGATTTTAAGCAGGCATTTGATAATATAATCCGGAACAAATTAAGGAAAAATTTGATAAAATTAGGTATTCCAACTAAAATAGTTAAATTAATTAATAAAATTATGCAACAGTAATATAAATTGTGTTGTCCGGGTACCAGAATTATTAGAATATTTTGAAGTTGTTAAAGGATTAAGGCAGAGTGATATGCTATTGCCTGTTTTATTTAATTTAGCGTCAAAAGGTGTGATAAGGAGAATGTCACAGCGACAGATAATAGAAGTAAATAGAATTCATACTCTCCTGGCTTATATGGACGACATAATAATCTTGGGCAACACGAAATAGGATACTGTAAACATTGTGACTGACTTTATAAAAGTATATAAACCCATGGGGTTGACAGTAAATTAGGAGAAAACCAAATATATGTATATGGCTACTTATATGAATACAAAGTGTCAAAAATGAATTGAATTTGTATGTCGGTGGGAAATCATTTCATCAAATTCATGACTTTAAATACCTCGGGGTCAACATAAATAATAGAAACTGCATACATTATGAAATTAATCTTTGTTTATAAGCTGTTAATGAATGTTATTTTGCTATGTCACACCTGTTCAAATCAAAATTATTGTCTAGAAAAACCAAGCAACATTAATACCACATATTTTAGACCAACTGTGACTTAGGCATGTTGTATCTGAGTAACAACAGGATATGAAAATAAATTAATAAATATAATATCTTTGAAAGAAAGGTGTTAAGGAAAATGTATGATCCTGTTTTTAACCCTGATACCCAAGTATGGGAGAAAGTCAAACAAAGAGGTGCAACAGTTATATGGAAAAGGAAATATAATACAATTTGTAAAAGGAGCAAAATTGGAGTGGGCAGGCCATGTCTGGAAAGCCAACAACAGTATTGTAGATGGTACTTAACACGGAGTGTTAACAAATTGAACAAGAAAAGACCATTTGGTAAACAAAAACAATAGTGGGTATATGTAATCAAAAATAATATGCAGGAGCTAAGACAAGATTGGAATGAAGATATGAACCATGCTTATAATAGAGGATAAATGGAAAAAAAGTCTCTCGTTACAATATAAACAAAACAATATTTCCATTATCCTTGTTATTTTATTTATAAAACAAATTTGGTTGACAAATCTTATCTGTAGATAAGGTATACAGGTACCTATCATATGTATTCAGTTTTGTATTAGTTCCGAACATTTTATGTAAGCATTTTGATGAGGACAAATCTGCAGATATTCCTAATTCTTTAAAGCAAATAGGTCAAAATATAAAAAAGTGATATTTTATATCTGAAAAATTGCACTCTTATATTTTTTAAATAATATTATAGATATTTAAGATATTATATTATATGTTATTGTATATTTTATTTTGTTTGTGTATAAAAGACTGAATTTAAATCAAATATTAATTTGGAGACTTTTTTTCCTTATATCATAATAGAGAAGAGTGGAAGAATGCAGTTTTGATAGCAAAAGGCCTAAATGGCTTGTAATGCTACTAAAAAAAATAAAAATATTGTTTTAAACAAAAAAATGTTAAAAAAGAAATTCATTTTCCAGAATAAGTCCAAAATATACAGAATAATCAATTATTCAAATCTTAATTTTGATAATAAGTTTTTTGGAAATAATAACTAATTGAATTTCTGTATCTTAAAAGTTAAAATTAAAATTTGATATATTAAATTTGTTTACCAGTATTTAGAAGTTCCAAAGACATGAGTTCATCTAAATCATACATATCTGAAAGAATGAGTACTTCTTCAGCCATTTCTTTAGGTAATGCTAACATTTCAAATTTTTGTATTGGCTTCCCATCCGTTAATACTTTCATAATTTGTTCTCGACTTTTGGTATTTTTTGGCTGAAATAATTTGCTTTTAATAATATAAATAAACTACATTAAGAAATTCTTAATATGAACATACTGGATTTTTAAAAACATTTAAAAAATGCGGTTTAGCAGCACGTAAAATACGTTTTAAAAAGGCAACATTTGGCCTTTCATTGGTAAAAATATTTTCCAACACTGGTAACAATTCCGTGTATGGGGACCATGAACTCTGCAATAGTTCAGCTAAAAAAATTGAATAAATAATTATAAATAAATCAAGGGTATACCAAGGGGGAGAAGAATTTCCTCTAATCAATATTTCACAATTCAACCAATAAGTAACAAAAATTAAAATTTTAGTTTTTATTGTATAATCATAACTATTTTTTACAAAATATATGAAATACCTACATAATAATAAAAAATATACAACAAATAAGAAACAATTTCTATAAAATTTAAATTTAATCGTTATGACCAATATTGTTGGATATTTAAATATGTACAATACATAACATGAACAATTTGAAACTAATAATCCATAAAACAATGATAATATGAGCTTCTACAATTTACATTTTATAGGAGTAAATCTAAACTAAAAATTTTCTTCTGAAATTTCGAGGGGTAGGCTGAGGCCCCCTTGAAACCCCCACCCATAAATACGTCCCTGAAATAAATCTTAATAGTTTTAAATATTTAACAGAATTTCTAAAACTAAATGGAAAAATTAAAATAGGTATCAATGAAATCATTAAATACAGGATATCAAGTTAAATATTTCAAATTCAAATATACTTACTTTCCATGATGACTATCGTTTCTTTTAGCGTTTTCTATAATTTTTCTTGAATTTTTCAATCAAAAGTTTAAAAAAATAACAAAATATGTTAAAAAATAACGCACAACTCCATACGAAAACAAAACAATTTTTCGGTATAATTTATTTGTAGGTTATGGCGGTTAAGTACCTTCTTTTATCGTATCTTATCACAATAATGATAAAACCATAGAAAGAACATTATTATATTCTGTGGTAAGAACCTTCTATTATACGTTTGTCGCATAGAGTAACTCTATGGTTTGTCGACTGTATTTATCATTATCAACAACCGCAATGTAATGAGTTGTGCTAAATTTTATTGAACATGTTGAATTAAAGTATGTACCTATTATTCAAATATTATAAAAATAATAAATGTTTATTTTAATCATGGCCTCATGATGTGTGTTTACAGCTAGTAACTGATGTAATTACTATTTATCTGTTCAAAATTAAATCGAATATGTCTTCAGATTATTGCCGTATTTGTACGTCTATTTTACGGGACTACTTTGGTCAAGATGTTTCCGAAATCGCAAAGCCCTTGCAATGGGGTCAGAAATCCTTAATTACTTTGACTACTATGTTAGATGGAAAATATGCTCGTCAACTAATACAAGAAACTATTATTATCTTGTTACAATTCAATTTTGTTTCAGCAATTTGTAATGTCCACTCAGTACAGGTCGAATACAAATTGAATATGGATAATATTCTTTTAATATTAAGGTACCCAAAATATTTATCAATTATAAAGAGAAAATTTGGTAATGAATATAAAGAACTTGTTGAAACCTTACTTTCTCTTGGTAGAGCTCCTTTATCAAAAATTGTTGGTGAATGTATTAAATTACAAAATAAGCCAGATGATTTATATAATACTTATTGGGAAAAAGCTATTGAATTAATAAGAAATGAGTACTTTAAAAGAACTTTTACATTTGTAGTTTGGACTAAAGTAAAACCAAATAAAATGTTTACACCACCTTCCAAAAATCAAAAAGACGAAAAAAAAATATTATTTGTTCCCAATTTTAATAAATTTCATCAAGATATAAAAAATAAAATTATTGTAGATGCTGTAGTTAGGACATTTGATGACGCAATTGTTGGAGAAGTAATGGCTACTATATTAAGTCAATGTGTTGATAGTAATGCTCCAGTTTCAAATGCTATATCATTACAACTGATTAGAAGTAATTTATCTGTTGATCATAATTATTTATTAGAATATATTACAATGATTGAAGAAGATCCCACTAAATTTTTGTGTAAATCTTATGGTACAATGTGTAATATTACTGTTAATTTTAAACAAATTATAAATTGCTTAAATGATTCTATAATTGATCAAGTAGTAAGCTATAAATTTGGTGAGAGTTCTGCAAGACTATTTAGAGCAACTAGAACAAATAAACTTTTAGAACTTGAGCGACTTCAACAAACTGCCTTAATACCAGATAGAGAAACTAAAACATTAACCTCAGAACTTTTTATGAATAATTACCTCCAAGTTCAAGAATTAAGAAAACCAAATACTCGTTTAGGTCGAAATGATAGTAAATCATTTTATTTATATCATTTAAATGATCGTCAATTACATCAAGAATTAACAGAAGAAATATTAAAAATGATTGGGAATTGCATGATGTGGAAGTTTAAGACATGTGAAGATAATAAAAGACTCCTAAAAAACAAAGCCCGATTTGATGGTATGGTTCAAGGTTTGCAAGATAAACAGGAAGCAGACAAAGATTTTTTTGAAGAGGCCATGGATAATTTATTTTCACCAAGTGAACGAATATTGTTAGATTCAATAAACAGACTGTTACGTAAATGCCAGTTAAACATTATGAGATTGGATGAGTGTTTATTTTTATTTCATTCTTATAAGCAATATAATGAAACTGTTAAATAAATTTTTTTATTTTTAATTATATCTATTTTATTATTGAAAATGTTTAAAATTTTAAAAGAAAACTATAAACTGTATTTTTGTTTCCATAAAATTACTTGTTATAATGAAAATAATTTTTGTTTAAGAGCAAGCATTAATTAAGGCCAATCTAAGTAAATCATTCTATAATGTTCGTTTCAGTAGATATATTTTTTTTTGTTGCATAAACCATTCTATATACTGAATAATTGACATAAAGTAAGGGTATAATAATTATAATGTGTAAGATACTAAAAATGATTATCTGTAAATTTAATCTTATTGCCACTTTAATTCAAATAGTATGAAAGCTACAAAACATACAATATAACTCAACAGTTACAGGTATGAGAAAAGATTAATTAAAACATAAATAAACTACATAATAAAATCAGCATCCAAAGTAAAACTAATAATAATTTTAATTATGAGTGTGCAAATAATGTTGAGAATGGATTAGCTATGGATTTTTATTATTATGATTAAGTGTTGAGTGGACCTCAGTCTAGGTAGGTCACTATAATAGATTTGTTACAATTTAAATGAAATTATTTGTATCATTATATACAAAAAATTATAAATTATATTATTACATTATTTATAGATAGGTATTCATAGTAATCAAAAAATATTATAGTAAAATCAATACATTAAAATTTAAGAACTTTATTTCCGTCAAAAATCATAATTTTAGAACATTTTTTTATCGTTTTTAAGGCCATAGTTATAAATGTATTTTTAATAAAAAAAAATTATTCAAATTTTTCAAATTTATGTTAATCAATGTTTGTTTACATTTTGGCAAAGCAGAACACAAGTGTAAACCGTCTTGTTTGATATTTCATAATCATTTTATTATTCCTATTTGTCAATAACAATATAATAAAAGACTGTAACGATTGTTACATATTATTAATGTCTACTCATGTAATATGGATATTGCTGAGTAGACATCACGTTCATTTACATGTTAACGATATTACGTGGCAGTTTTGCCACGACGTTCTTCCGATGTAGCTGAACTCCATATTGTCTTGATGTAGTCCATTGTCCGTAAGTTATATTTATATATGTATATTAAATAATAATAACTAAACTAAATCAATCTACATTTATTTGTAATATTAAGATCTTTCTTTTTATGCTCCCGAGCTACGGTATAATATATTCACAAGGACTAGAAAACCTTCCCTAAATATCATATATTTAACTGGTCATCCCCAACCACGTTACATATTGGTAGAGGCACCGTAACCATGAAATTACAAATATTTGGGATTGGTTTAGATTTTTATTGAATAGTAGTTGTTAACTTATTTTGTATAAGTGTACTTTTAATAAAAATTAAATTTAGAGAAGTTTAGTGAGTTGTTTGCTGAGAATTTATGAGTTTTAAGTATTGAAGATATTAGCGTAGGGAAATATTGTGAGTTTATAACTTTTTTTATTACAAAAAAATAGCATTGAGATTTATAGATTCAATTTATTATATTTATATAATTATTGTATTGATAATTATAGAGTAGGTAATTAAAGAATAAAAATATAGTTATTAAGAATAGGGTAATATAATTTTTTTTTGTTCTTGCGAGTAAAAATAATTAATACTTCAATAAATAATGGTACTTAATTGATAACACATTATATATTAAACGTTATACAAATAATCAAATTACAAAAGTAAATAAAATTAATTTATCATACTTAGATGCAAATTTTGGTTCCAAAATAAATTAACAAAATTTAATAAGTCTGTTACGACAAATCGAAGAGGTCGATCTAGGAAATTTTTCAAATTCAAAGTTTGGAAAGTTATCATTTTCTGCTAAACTTGTACAAAAATTCACACTGTGCACCTTATATGTGGTAGAAAGTTTAGAAAAAGAAGAATTCATCCAATTACCAGTGGAAAAGAAATTCGAATTTATAATTTCTCATAAAACTGTAGCGTGGATAAATTTATTGGATAAAACTGAATTAGTGGGTTTCCTAATATTTTGTAACATACATAGTGAAATTACATCTACAATAATTGTAGAGTTAATAAATCTAGCAAAAACAGAAATAAAAAGTTTTAGAAACAATCAAGACCTTGATGATAGACTTAACGAGACAAATTTAACATTTACAGACGATAGTTTCCCAGTTAATTTAAATAATAGTGGAGATAATTTGGCGGACCTAACTTTTGTAGAAAACACCGAACCGGATAACGTAGCATAGGAAAAAAAATCAACGATTGAAAGAAATCCTAAAATAATATTTAATAAAAACAAGTATAATATTGAATCAAAAATATCATTTAAAATGTTACATCAGCCACAGCCATTTTCGGACGATTTAGATCAAGATGTAGAATCATTTTTTGATAATTATGAATTGCCTGCTATTATAAAATGATTGGGGCGACCGAGAAAAGATTATTTTGTTACCAATTTATTTAAAGTCCACAGCAGAAAATTTTTTTGAAATTATTAAAACAAAAAATCCTGAAATTACATGGCACGATGCAAAAAAACAAATGAAAGACAAATTTACACTGAAAGGTTAGAAAAGGAAATAGATGTACTAAAAAATCACTTACAAAAATTAAGTATGGAACAATTGGATATAAATAATAGGAGAAATGATAGTGGGAGATTTAATAACAGGAATAATAATAATTTTAATAAATCAAGTAATAATAATTATGATTTCAATGAAAACAATTATAACGAAAGTTATAATAAAGACGTCTATATTATTATATATAAACAATTCAGATATATATCAACTTTACAACTTAATAAGAGAAGCAAAAACACGGTGCTATCCTCCCAAAGAAGAAGCGTATAAAATTACTGAATATCTTACAGAGATTTATCTGCAAGAACTCATTGATCGCAGCATGGCTTTTCGTATAATACAATGTCAGTGGAGTGTAATTGATAGTTTTTCTACTGAGAATATTACTTCTATGACTTAGATTACGAAATGGGGTTTTGATGGCAGTATAGGTCAAAGGGAATGTAAGCAAAAATGTAACGAAGATTTTAGTGACTCGAAAATACATTTAACGTCATTAGTACCTATTCAGTTATTTGAGAGTATATCCCATTTACACAAATAAATTATATGGCAAAATCCTCAGCCATATTGTACAAGGTATTGTCGACCAATACGACTTCAGTTTAAAAAAGAAACACACACTTCGTCGTAGGTCGTTGACCATGAATCACGGTTCGTCATTATTTCGTTCCGTGATTCTATTATTACTCAAGAAATTCTTCTCGTTTTTTATCATTCAAAAACATAATTATTGTTAAAAGTAATCTACAACCAAATCAAGTGCAATTTAATCAACTGAAGCTGTTTCGGTCATCTAATCTGAAAATATAAAAAAAATTAATTACCAAATAGTTATTGAAATTGTTATCTACGGCGGACGCGCTCGGCCGTCCGTCCCGTAGTGAGGCAACATATTCGATAAGTAAAACCCACCATGCCTACGAATAAATCTAAAACTGTCGTATCTCCGTTAATCATTTCTAAATCCCGTATACATAATGTGCCAAATAAATTACCAAACCAATTTTCGAATTCTGAGTCCAACGACGGCAGGATTACTCCCACTCCTGATAAACGCCAACTGTATCAAACTCAAGACAACAACCATTAACAAAAATATTTGTTACTCAAAATCGATTTTCCCTATTTTCGGATCCGACAAAGTCATCCGGAAATAAACCAGAACCCGTAAAAATGGACCAAGAACCTGAGCACATAGAAAACTCTTCGGCCCTTACCAAACCTCCATCACCTATTTTTATTCGGATAGTTAATGATAGTAAGGCCTTCGTTGATAGCATAAAGCAAATCACGAAAGGAGAACCTTTTTTTATGTAAAAGTTCTATCAACGGCATCAAACTGTCCACAAGTTCACCAGATTCGTATCGATCTGTCATTAAATTTCTTCAAACCAATAAAGCTGCTTATCATACTTATCAGCTAAAACAAGACAGAGTCTATAGAATAGTAATAAGAAATCTTCACAACTCCACTCCAAATACTGAAATAAAAAAAGAACTCTCTGCTCTCAGGTATATGCCTCGTAAAACGTTCTAATATTCTACATAGAAACACCAAAAACCTCTCTTCCTTTTTTTATCGATTTGGAGCCTGACATTAACAATAAAGATGTCTTTAAAATTAACCACCTCTATTATACTAAGGTAAAAATTGAAGAGCCCCGAACAAACAACCAACCAATACAATGTCTCCGTTGCCAAGGCTTCGCCTATACAAAATCTTACTGTAACCACCCCCCAAAATGTGTTCGCTGTTGAGATTCTCACACCTTAGAAAGCTGCGAAAAATCTCCCAACCAACCAGCTATATAAGCACTATGTAGTGAAGACCACCCAGCCAATTACAGAGGCTATTCTGTGTTCAAAAAAATTCAAGCTGCTCACCATCTCAAGAAATCTAACTCAATACATTGTGGCGGCAACATTATTTATAGCATGGTTGTATTGTTTTCCGGATTCATTGTAGTTTCCCGATAGCGAAAACTATTTTCGGAATTTAGGAATACGGTCGACCGGGTGGCAATCGACTGAATGTATAGGCGTTCAGTTAGTCAGTGATCGTCCGTGAACCGCGAAACGCTCGTCCGACGTGTTTACATAAATTGATATATGTATGTTTTTATTTGTATAATATACAATATAATTATTTGAAATCTTTCTTCATTATTAATACCTTAAAACCCACAACATAATAACCTGAAATAATCATACTCTAATGTTAAACATAATAATGTAAGCTCTACTTCAAATATGAACTTCCAATCTAAAAAATCATATGTTTAAGCTACAACAACTGATTTGCCAAGCCAAGACATCCCTCCTACCACTTCTCAAAACCCTGACTACATAGCCAATCAAATGGCGCTCTTTCTAAATTATTTCCAAGCCACCATCAATCCACTAACCTCTCTACTTACTATTCTAGTAGAAAAACTAATGCTGTCCAATGGTAAATAGATTAAATAATATTCCTCACTCTATCTCAATCCTTCAATGAAACGCCAATGGATTAGCACGTCAAAAAAATAAGCTTTGTGCTTTCCTCTCAACAAAATCTATCGATATCTTACTCATCAGTGAAGCACACCTGACATCAAACCCCTCTTTTAACATTTATGGCTATTCTACATATCAATGTTACCATCCCGATGATTCCTTCCATGCGGGTTCTGCAATACTGTTAAAGTATAACACAGTCTATCAACATACCATTCTACTACCATATCAAAATAACGTCATTCAGTCCACTAATATTTTGCTAACTCTAAATCATATCCCCACTACTATCTCATCGATTTACATCCGTCCCGGCGCAAAAATAAACTCTAATGATTTTGATATTTTCTTTAATTTCCTCAGTAACCACTTCCTGGTAGGTGGGGACTTCAATGTTAAACACTCCCAGTGGGGCTTTAGCCAACCTAATACCAAAGGTCGAACTCTCAATACATTTATCCTCGATCACAATCTTAAAATAATTTCCTCTCCTTGCCCTACATATTGGCCCTCACAGACATCCTGACGTTCTGGATATTTTTATCACTACGCTCCCTAGTCATATAAAATTCACAATTACTAATTCCTCAGACCTCTCTTCCGACCACACACCAATAATACTCACTCTAAACAGCACTCCAACTACAAGAAAAAACTACCCAACTATCACTCCAGGCAAAACAAACTGGAAAAAAATTAGCCAAGTCATAGATAATGCCATCACCCTCAACATCTTAATAAAAAAACCCATCTAAAATAGATACTGCAATACATTCCTTTCCAAATTTAATCCAAAATACCGCACTTGACGCATCTCAAAACAATCCATCCACCACTCATACAACCACGGTATTACCCCCACACATAACACAACTCGTTACAGAAAAGCGTCGTGCCCACCGCATTCGGCAAATAACTAACTCATTTGCCAAGTGATAGAAGGCATCTTAATATACTCACAAACTACTTAAAAAATATTCTCCGGAAGTATAACTCTGACAAATTTCACAACTACTTGGAATCTCTCTAACACTAACAATTCACTTTGGAAAGCCACTAAAAATATACTAAAGGAAATAATTAAAATAACTCCCCTGCGATATCCTAACAACTCTCTAGCATCATCTAACCTTGACATTGCAAACTTATTTGCATCAGACCTTGAGAATATATTCTCATCACACCCAAATTTACCTAGTAGTAGCCACCACTCTAATATTGAAGACTCTGTTTTGAACACTCACCCAATGTGTCTTCCTATAAAACATACATCTCCTTCTGAAGTCATAAATATCATTAAATACTTAAAAACCAGCAAATATCTTGGCCACGACCTGATGACCAATACTACCGCTAAACATCTTCCTAAGAAAGCAATCTTACTTCTCACTTATATCTACAATAGTATTCTTCGCTTGTCCTATATCACTTCAATCTGGAAACATTCAGTTATTATCCTAATTATAAAAGCCAAGAAAACCTGATCAACCCTCCTCATATAAGTTTATTAGCTTACTTCCTACTTTCTCAAAAATCTTAGAAAAAATCATATTGAAAAGAATCTATCCAATATTAAACGATAAAAGAATTATTCCAAATGTCCTATTTGATTTTAGGAGTAAGCAATTCTCCTTCCATCAACTGCTCAGGCTAGTCGACAATATCGCCTCATTCCTTGAACAAAAAAAATTTTGTTCTGGGATTTTTCTGGACGTTGCTCAGGCGTTTAATCGTGTCTGGCACGAAGGGCTATTATTCAAACTATTGTTTTTACCTACCCCGTTATTTTTCTTGCTCAAATCATTCTTATCAAACCGCAAATTTTCAGTAAGATGTAAAGACGAAATTTCTGATCCACATCCTATAAAAGCAGGCGTCTTTCAAGGCAGTATCTTATCCCCGACTCTCTATAATATATATACAGCAGACTCACCTCAATCTATTAACACCGCTCTAGCTGCCTTCGCCGCAACCATAATCTCAACCAACTCCGAAATAGTCATCGCTGTTAACTACAAGATTGGTTCACATTATAAAAAATCAAAACTAACGAAAACAAATCCACTCATGTCACCTTTACCCTCAGGCCTAAAACAATCCCCCCGGTTTATATAAATAACCAAATAATTCCAATGGACAAATCGGTCAAATACCTAGGTCTCATTTTTGACCAAAGATTAACTTGAGTTGATCACATCTTAACTAAAAGAACTTCACTTAACCTCAAACAACACAAATTAAGACCATTTCTCCGATTCAAAACCTCTCTCACAAATAAAATTCTAATTTAATAAAAATAATAATTTAATAAATCTAATAAACAAAGTTTTACGTCCCGCAATGACATACGGAATTTAACTGTGTGTACAGTTGGTTACAAAATGTTTAATAATAGTTATTTTAAAAAAATAAGTAGTTCCGACCAGCGGCGGATTGGCTAAAGATTTCGGCCCGGGAAATTACCGTATGACCGGCCGACCATCCAATAATAATAATTTTCCATAAAAGTCTCCTTTATTCTTGGATTAAATGCTCATAGAACTGTTTATATCACGTTTACACTAAGTTTTATCAAAATCTTAAAATTAAATACAATATACTTAAATACATTATTTTTATAAAATAATTTTTAATCCAAGGAGATCGGCTCAGAGTTTTTGGAACTTTCCCGGTATCCCGGTGGGCCAATCCGCCGCTGATTCCGATCAATTTATATATTGGGTAGCAATGATTACAACTGTAACTTTAGCATGTTTTCAGTTCGTGCATAGACGTCTTACCGTCCACACGTATATTGTCAAGCGTTCCGTCTTTATCAGCTTCCGATAGCGTGTGTAGTGTTGTGACCAGTTTCGTCGCATACCTGTACCTTCGGTAATGTATAATTACTTCATAATTACCTTCAACCGTTACTTATCAACATCATTATGAGTCTTCCAAATATCCCACCGATTCCTATCGCAAAAAATAATTCAAAACCAACAATTAATAAGCCAGTCTTTCCTATCACCATAGTTAATCGCGACAAAATCATTAAAAATAACGAGCAAATATCCGATAGTGAAAAAGCTTCAGCCGATGACTGAACTGTTATACCCACTGTTCATAATAAAAGATCGCTCACCTCTCCCGGTGGTTCACCGAAATCAAAACAACCGAACGATAATCTATTTAAATCGTTCAATCGCTACTCAGCCCTACAAAATGATAATGAACTATAGTCGTGGCAACGAAAACTGGCCGGTTACCCCCGTGACCCGCCTGCCATATACCGACGGCTAGCCTTTTTTTTTTTTACATTTTTAGCCGAGGACTGGGGGTGGCACTGACGTCAGTCACTTCAACCCCCCACCCCCCCTCGTTTATTAAATTTACATCATATTTTTGGCCTCAGTCAGGGACAATCCCCTTTCCTGGCGACCTTACACGTTTGTACATGATCGAGACTTATGGTCTCCTAGGTTTCGCTTTCAGCGTACAACATAAATAATAATAACACGTTGACATTTGAGCTACACGCGTGCTCGCTGTCTCTGCCTCTCCTCTTAAACCTTTTTCTGCATCACTTGGTGGATGAAGTCCGCTTCGATATTCCACCTTTTGGTGGATTCCATCATCACCCCGACCATCGTTTCCGCCGTGATGTCCTCGCCAATCAGAGTGTTCATAATTCTTCTTCTTTCGTACCACGCATCGCATTCGAAAAGTGTATGGTGGGCGTCGTCTGTATGGTAGTCGCAGAACATACACTCAGGTGATGGTAGCTTACCGAATCGATGTAGGTATCCCGAAAAGCATCCATGTCCAGTGAGGGCTTGTGTTAGGTGGTAATCTACCATACCGCTCGTTCTTTTGTGCCACCTCTTAATGTTTGGTATTAGTCTATGAGTCCACCTTCCGTTGTCAGCCTGTTCCCATCTTGATTCCCATGCTTGTATCATTTTGTTTTCTGCTTCTATTTTTCCTTCTGTCGTCTTCATGCTGCTCCTGTATTCCGCTACCAGATCTGGGGGTGACATTCCGGATAGGACTTGCTAGCCTTAGGTTCTCAAACTGCACCGCACCGCCGCCGAGATGTTTACACAATAGGCGCACGGCATGTGTTTTTTTTTTGTTACACGGTCCCTTATTTAATTCATAGTTTAGGTACCCATCTAAAACTGGTATACAACAGCTGGAATGTATTATGGACGAATCGTAAACGTGTATAGTATAGTGTATACGTCTGTTGATTTTGTATTTTTGTGCATTATGCTACAGACATTTGTAACAAACGGTGTGTTGTAGCTACGTTTTTGAAATCAATTTTGTGAAAATTTGTTTTTTTCTTGTGTTTGAATACATTTTTTGTACAAGGATCTATTAAAAATGTCTTTAAATAGTGATACACGCAGCCAGAGTAAACAAATTGTTTATAATGTTTATAAATTTTTAAAAGAACTGTCATCAAAATCGGATTTAACTGCCGATTTCTTTAAACAAACTCAAATACGTACCGGCGAAGCTTGTGGATTGTCAGAGCGCACTGTCAGACGTATTTGTTCTGAAGCAAAACATTCAGAAGATAAATTCCGATGAATCAAAGCCAGTTTTATCATTCAAATCTCCACGCAAAGGCTAAAAACGTGCGAAAATTGTATCAGAGATCGACGATTTTGATGTAGATGTCGTTAGAAAAACGGTGCATGAGTTTTACGATCGAGGTGAGTATCCAACTGCGAATTTAATATTAAATGCTTTAAAACAGAAAATCAATTATTCCGGTTGCTTACGTTCGATGCAAAACCTGTTGAAGAATTTGAAATTTTCTTATAAAAAGTGTAATGATGGCCGAAAATTCTTAATGGAGAGAAATGACATGGTTGCACTTCGATGTAAATTCCTTCGAGAGATTTGTACGCTGCGCAAGGCAAAAGATGATCGCCCTATTGTTTATATTGACAAAACATGGGTCAATCAAAACCATTCGAAGTCAATGATATGGCAAAATGAAGGTAGCACTGAAGGTTTGAAAGTTCCTACGGGAAAAGAAGGTCGGCTTATCGTGTGTCACGCTGGATGTGCGCGTTACGGGCTTATTCAAGGGTCCAAACTAGTATTCCGTAGTAATACAGGCAATACCGCTGACTACCATAGTCAAATGAATGCTGAAATATTTCAAAAATGGTTTGTTGAACTATTAAATAATCTTGAAGAGCCGTCTGTCGTAGTAATGGACAATGCGTCATATCATTCCACGTTGGTAGAAAATTACCCAAAAAGCAATTGGAAAAAAGCTGACGTACAAAAATGGTTGAATGAAAAAAATGTTAAGTTTAGTCTGCTTGAGACTTAATTCCACGTGAAAAGCAATATTTGCTTGACCAAATCGCTTTAGAAAATGGACACGAAGTAGTACGGTTACCTTCTTATCATTGCCAATACAATCCAATCGAACTTATATGGGCCCAAGTTAAGAGTCAAGTAGCGAAAAACAATCATACGTTCAAGATGGTGGATATCGAACGTCTTACCCACGAAGCGTTAGATGCGGTAACCAAAGAGGATTGGGAGAAGTGTGTAAGACATGCCGAACAATTACAGGAGTTAGATAACCAAAAGGAAATCCTTAGAGACGCCTTAATGGAACCAATAATTTTGACGATACTGCCTGATGATAGCGATTCCAGTGATGGAGAATCAGATACAGAGCAATTAGAATAACTAATTTTATTATATTTATATTATTATATTATATTATGATTTTTTTTTATTTTATGTATATATAATATGTATTTATAGATTGTTTTGCAATTATTATTAACAATTAATAAATTGTATGTATAATATATGTATTGAAATAATGTTTTACACTAATAATTTTTTAAACTATTTTGTCCCATCTTTTATATAATAATAAATGAATATAATATACCATGTTAATAAATTAATTTAAAAAAAACGCGGCAATTAATTTTGGAAGTATAATGACCCCTGAGTGGAAATGGCCGCTAGAGTCGCGACGGTCACCGGCCAGTTTTCGTTGCCGCGACTATAGATATGGAAACCACAGATACGATTATACCGACCACACATCGCCCCCCTCCTATCTTCATCAAAACTGAAATCGATTACCAAAAATTCTGTTCATCCATAAAATTACTTATCAATTCTACTGAATTCACTTGTAAAAGCAACACATCAAGCCTAAAACTTCAACTCAATTCACCTGATGACTTCAGAAAAATTGTTAAAATGCTAAAATCCAAAAATATCGATTTTCATACGTACCAGATCAAGCAGGAAAAATCCTTTCGGGTTGTTCTCAAAAACCTCCACCACTCAACTCCAATCGATTTCTTAACCGAAGAA